GTGTACGTGAAGCATGAAATAAAGGACTGATAGAAATTAAAGGCTGCGTTGACTGGCGTATTAGTGCATATCACACTGTGTGGTACCATTACACCTCTCTGGCAATGGAGACCACAAGCCAATAAAAGCCTAGATATCTCTACCCACACTGTTCATACACACGCTGTCCTCTGGAGACCGTTCCCATGGGGATGTGATAACAAGGATTGAGTCACTGGGTGGGGAAACTGGGCCATCACACTAGTAAGTTAAACACGTTTCATTATTTCCAGCTCAGGCATGTGAGCAATGGCCCACAGAAAGGCAGCTGCCAGCAAACGTCAAACTCACAATTTGCTTTCCTTACGATGCAGTGTGAACTGTAGGTTCACAAACAGATATGCTTTGTAGACTTAAGCCAATCAATCAGCGGCTTCTTTCAAAGTGAGTCAGAGTCTAGCTTTTTGCTTAGTGACAGGGTGAAAGTGTCAAGCTGATACCGTGGTATTATCTCCAACAACCTAAAGAGGCTGCAGCGACTTTAAACACTACAATCGTCTGGTATCAGAGCCTCTCGTTACTGCCCTCATTTATCTCTGTCACTTGTTGGGGGCTTTCCTGCCCCTGCTCGATACAGCCAGTTCAGTTCGTTTTGGCTCAATTCCATAAGGTTGTGTATGTCCTCAACTTTCACTGAAAGGCACACAACACGGAGTAGATAACACGGCTTGTTTCGAGGTATCAGTGTTTCCAAGTGTTTCCTTCTCACTGGAATATTGAGTTACTCAAATCGTTGATACGGTTGCTCAAATGTATCTCCAATTCTCCCTCAACCTTTGATCTAGAGGAAGTTGGTTTATTGGGATTAGTCAGCTCTTCCCCTCCAGCCACAGGCCACAGGCCACAGGTGTTACAGAGATGTGCTGCAATTTCATGGGCTTCAGGAAGGCATTTGAGGAATGTGTCAACTCACTTGACAGACCTGAAGTTGTGCGTGCGTTTAGGCCGTTGTTGAGAAAGTAAGGAAAGCTATCACCAATGATGTTGACACTATTACAGACGTATTGAAATCAATGTTCACATTATTAGATTTGCTGTGGTTGGGCAGTTCTAACACAGCTGGCATGTTGTGCAATTTCTATTCATTTTAGTTTGTTTATGTTTTTAGACAGTTTTATAATTTTTGTTTAATCATTTTGAAAATGATAATGAAACTGGATGATTGGTCAGCATGTGGTAGTGCCTGTCCATTGTTTCACTCTCCAGCATCTGCTTTTATAACCCTCACCAAGTAAACAATATATTGTAGTTCCTTGACTCATTGACGCAAGAGAGTTTATTGCCAATCTGCACGTTCGGATGTTCACAGGAAAATGTTATTGACCATCTAAATAGGAGGTCTGATGGTTTATTTACTCTTTGTATATTGCCCTGATTCACGTTTTATGAATGTACCATTTTCCAAAGAGCCGCATTGCTGTCTAAGAATTACAACTGCAATTTCGACACGAGCGACGTGGGTGCTGGTGGAGATTTCATGTAAACAAGGCGGTCCTTGAGTTGGCATCGAGTGGCAGAGTGGCAGCAACGCTCCCGTTACAAGAGCATCCCTTGCCTCAGTGACGCAGCGTTCAGGCCCTTCCCCTTTCTGAGGCAAGCTCTCGTACACACCCATGTTTCACTTCCTCACGTGTCTGAGAGTGAGGGGGAGGGCTTGTGAATGCACTGAAAAATGGAATGTTGGTTGAATAACACTGTTGCCAATACACGGCCATACATCACATGTTGAAAAGAAGGCCAGTTTCAAAACATTTTCAAAATGTTCTTGGCCTCAGGTGATACACTGTAACAAATTTCTGTAAATTTACGGTGTATTTCTAACGGTATCTTACTGTCACTTTTATCCAAAACGTCCATGGTTTGACATAATTTTATGTGGAGTATTTGGGGGTTAGGTGTCTTGCTCAGAGACACTTTGACTTGGCATAGGGAGCAACCAGGATTCAAACCACCAACCTCGCGCTGCACAGCACACCCTCCCTATCCCATGCGCGGCCATCGCAGTCATTTCAGTGGCCGGAATGTAAAGATTGTAAATATTTGTATTATTGAAAGTGTTCATTGCCTAAAAGTAATTTGAGTGTCAATCGTGACGTCAGACGCATAGTCTCAGTTCATCCAGAACACCTGTGCAGTTCGACATTGGAGGAGTTTCTCATTGCCTCGTCTCTCCAAGTAACATTGGTGGTGTTGAAGTGTTATTTGCCTATCATGATTAACATTCTCCTTCCTTGCATCTTGTTGTCTTCCTCATCTTTGTCATTTTAATATTTTACCAATGACAGTGTTTCTAAACATTTTATTTTGGTTTGTTTTACAGTAACCACTGGATTAAGGACGCCAGCCGTTTGCTGTGGTCAATTGAAAGTGTTCCATAGCGTATTATTGCAGTTAGTTTACCTTGTTCCTAATAATTTTATGATTCATTTTTTATTCATTATTCATTATTGTACACATGCGGCATATTTTATGTTTGTTCTTGGTTACAAATATCTAACATTTTTGTCTTAAGGCATCTAATAAACTGCAACCACTATGACCGAAATGAGTTTGGTTGTCTTTCTTTAATTTGTGGGGAATTAAATGCAAAAGTATACGGTTATAAGTAAACGGTAACATTCTGGTATTTATAACACAAAAACAGTAATCCTATGGTAACAAACTGTTCTCCAATGTACGGCAACATACCGTATATTATGGTAGGGCACTGTAAATAAAACTGTAAGTTAGTAGTGTCGACTGCCAGTAAATTGCAGTTAATTCACAGTAAACAATAAAATAACAATAAAACAATAAAACTGCTTCTACACTGTGACTTGATCGGAGGTGTTTTCAAATAGCATTCAGTTGTTTTACTAGAAGGTCAGTACATTGTGGGTCAGTTAGGACAGGATCAATAAACGGTATCTGAAGAACTCAATTGAAATTGTAATACATGATCGATAAAGAGAACCAGGCACGCAGCACAATGTTGTGGCTGTGATGGGTGCCAGCGGAGTGTCCATTGCATTTGATTCAAAATACGAAGAACACCTTTTATTGTTACATTTTTTAAAGTGCTGATTTATTTGTTCACGGCTTCCAGAGGCTTTCTGCTTGGTCTCCGTTGGGCGGACTTCACAATGACTCCTGTGTTTGTAGAAGGCCACTGATGTACAATGGGCGCGGAGGAGGCTGTTGGACGTTGCCTCGCGGCTGTGTTTGATAGCCGGATTGAGGGCCCCGTGGTGCAGCCTGGGTTCTTTTGTCTCTGGGTACGGACCCATGACATGTTAGGGGAAGCCGTGCTGAGCTGACATAACACTGACCCATCAACGAGGCTCTGGTGACTCTGCTAGAAAGTCGGCAACTCGTGCACATGAACAAACTCACTTTCTTGTATCTTTTATACTGGAACTATGATCTTAGTGGGATTTGTAGAGTAATGGAACAAGGTGCACGGGTTTATTCAGTTTCAAGATTAGAAGAAGAATGTTTGCTGTGTAAATGTGTTTTTTCTGTGTTGAAGACATCTTAGGAAGATACATTTTTAATCAGATCTCTAGTCTTTTTAATATCTGACCGGACATCCTGGACATTCCGAAATTTAGAGCACAGACAGTAACACATGCAATTATCGCAGAGTTGAGGCCCACTACATATTTGCAATCACACAAGTAAATCCTTCACACGGTAACATGACACGGCTACGGTTGTCTTTCCCCAAAAATGGACTGCCGTGAATAAGGGTTTTAGATTTAGTATTGTTCTGTTAATCCTGGGATCAGAATGTCTGGGAAGACCAGTGTGTACCTCCCAACACACACACACACACATATTGTTAGACAAACACTCTCGCTTCTCTTTTTTTGTTCCTATCCACATTTCACACCAGACCACCAGGGAGTCCTTACCTGTGAAACCAGTGGAAAGAGAAGAACGGGTGCCCTGTTCGAGTGCTGATCATTTAATCCCCTCCCTGCCTGGCCCTGGGATCCTTTCTTTCCATTTGTAATCGCAGTGCTGAACTAGAACATCAGAGATTAGTGCATGATTAGGATGTCTACTGACCTCGGCTTGCCCACGGCCCCTCAGCTTTATCTCGTCTGGCACCGACTCATCAGGGTGAGTGCCACTCGTGAACACATTTCCACGGCTGTTTTTGCTAATATTACTCACAACCTCCTTAAAGATCTCACATCTAAAAAATATTTTTTCTCAAATGAATTTAACTGGCCCATAAAAAAAGTTGAACATGGCTCAGCCGATGCCACAGTACAGTGTTTTGTATTTGGGATCGACATACATTAGCCAGTCAAACCCGTGTTGGGGGCACATTCTGGTTGAAAACCTGTACGGTGTCTTCTGTCCGCTTTCCATTGTTAACTTCTCTCTGTTGCAATTATAGGGGGAACATCTTGCAGCCATAACTTTCCCAGAGATGTATGTTTCTGCCTCATAGTAGGATAAAATGAAAACAAGGGAATCTTTCTATTTCATATGATGTGAACATGGCATTAGTCTCTAAATTAATGTCTGTCTTTTTCTGCAAGTAAATATGCCTCCCGTCTATAATCCCACCTAAACACCCATCAGGTGTGCTGAGACGTGAAACCAAAAGCCGTTATGGTATTTCCAAAAACCAATGCCTTGTGTGCAGTTTCGATTTCCTTCTTGCCATTTGAATTCTCTGCAGCCATTTCATGTCGCAAGACTGCGATTACACGGACAATGAAACCCGCAGTCGATTTAAGTCGAGTACATTGAGAAAAAAAAAATGTCCTCGGCGAGTGTTTTGTTTTTGTCGAGTATTTTTCCTGCTCACCCCTCCCCCCGTTTTCGCTCCTTCCTCTTTGTTTGCGCGATCTGCTCGAGCCCCTCTCCCCTGCCCTGCCTCCTCCCAGCGACAGATCCGGCTCTATGATTGGCCAGTCGCGGGTTAGAGGCGGGGCTTGCTGGCTGTTTGTGCTTGTCTTTGTAGCTGGAGGATCAGTTCAGGCGTCACTTTCGTAACGTCCTCACGACGGGAACGGCCGTCGAATTAAAAACGTTTAAATCTGCATAAGTAGCCGTTAATTACACATTAAAACAACGGGGAATATCCCAAAAACAGCGGAGGAGTTTATACAATGTGTTCTCCTTAAAGGAATATAGTGGAAATAAGGGTTTTCGTCGTTGGCTCCGTCCTTCCCGTCCAGCCCTTTGTTTTTTTTTCTTCTTCGACCGCTGTGCTTGTGGAGGCTAACAAGCTAACGGAAAAGAGCTCGAGGATAGGGAGCCAAACGAGCGGCCGAGCCTCTTGCCCCCCGAGCGACGTGGGTCCCCCCAGCTCAGTTGTCCGATGCGGAGTGAGGATGAGTCCCGCTCTGGAAGCCCTCATGCAGGCGGACGGGACTCCGTATCCCGGAAAAGGGGTGATGCTTGAGCCTTTCGTGCACCAGGTGGGAGGCCACTCCTGCGTGCTGCGGTTCGGGGAACAAACAATATGTAAGCCCCTCATACCCAGAGAGCACCAGTTCTACAAGAGCCTCCCCCCAGAGATGAGGAAGTTCACCCCTCAGTATAAAGGTAAGACCCCCGATCTGCTGAGCTCGGTTGATCGGTTGGTAATGTTAGCAAGCTGTAACCCCGGTTTACTTCTCTGTGTGCCAAAATTAACACGCCGTTCTTTGCTGAATTTAATATTAAATGTATCAAATCGCGAGGATATTTTTTTTTACGTGGGTTAAGTGAGGTTTTGATGAATTGCTGCGAGCGCGCATAGAACACAACGTGCACCACACAACACTCAAATATGTATTTTGATACATTTGTATTTATATTTTTGGTCGAGCCTCTTTTTAAGTGACCATATCACATGGCATGTTGGAGCAATGCAGGTGCCTTGGTGTGGTCCTGTGATAGAGGTAAGACACACTGGCACCTGACCCACCGCCCCAGTAATCGCAGTGTGGGGGTATTTAAATCCAGCCAGGATGAGGGGGGGTTGGAGATCGTAGAGCTCTTCTGGAGTCTGTGACAAAGTATGTCCTTATAGCGGAGCACATTTGAAAGGGCATTAAATAAAGAGACTTCAGTAAGATAATGGAACTTTGTTAAGCAATGGTTCAGTGCGGAAGGGTTCAATTCAAACCTAGACATCAAAGCCACATTTAACAACCACAACTTTTGAACCTAATAAAACGACACTCACTGATGGGGATCTGCAACTCAGACAAAATCCTAAATATTTTATTACAACCAATCGGGCTATAAAAACATTAAGATTATGCACCGATTGTGAACACGCATGTTCCCACGGTAACTGAGGTGTTTGGTGGTGACTGCGCAGCTCCCACTGGCACCGCACCGTCCACGAGGAAGGAGCATGCCGGTGACGTCATCAGTCAGGGCCTGGGCGGCGGAAGAAACGTGCCCGCTGGGCCCTCTGCGTCACCGTGTAGCGCTCAAACACCAACGCTTTTACACTTGTTTTACAACATTCGCTCTTTTGTCTGAGGTTGTTCTCGGGCTAAATTATTTTTTTAATTCCCTGCTATCCAATTACTGTTTTTTTATTTTTATAAACGTCTACTTGTGTTGTTGGGTGCAAAGTGTTCCGTGTATCTGCTACTTTTTTCTCTCGGTCACTTTCGTTCACTTCCTTCCTTCCTTTATTCCTTCCTTCCTGTCTGAGGTTTATCTTTATCTGCAGCTGTGATGTTTATTCTCAGTGCTACACCTCCCCCACCCTGCACACACAGGTCCTTTTAGGGACTTTTATCAGGGACAGGGGGGTCTAGTGTGGTGCCTGGATGATGTTATAAAATCATCATTGGCATTAAGGTAGACATGTTTAGTGGTCATTGAGGTGATTGTAGCCCTTCAACCCGTCTCTCCTATTTTGAGTTGGAGAAATGGGTTGATACTCAACAAAAAAAACCCTGCAAATATCTTTTAAATGTTCTTGTTTCATTCAAGGCTGTATTATGAACTGTGTAAAAAAATCGACACAAAAAAACACTCATTGTCACTGAATCATGGTTACGTACTTATCATGTCATGTAGATAAGCAACTCTTCTGCTTGCTGTCATGTCACTGTATGATGTTTTATGTGGAAAGAGAACTGTACTTCATTTTCTCATGTCATTTCCTACTGTCTGAAACTGTATAAATACTTATTGTGTGTTTCATAAGGATGTTTAGAAATTGCTTAATAAATTTCCTGCTGAGTTTGACAACTTTCAGACTTGTGTGGTATTTTGTCTCTGGTTTCCTCAATAACAAAATTATAACCTATTATTTGTACTTTTTGTGTTTTGTCATATGTTGCCCGTGATAATACCTGCTCTCATTGTTAATATCCTACTCTTCACTTCCATCTGTCTGTCCCATCTATGGTCTGAACCGGCATGTGGAGATGTGAACATGATGATGGCTGTATGACTGGGTCTTTGTGGAAGTGTTTCAATGTGAATTAAAAGAGATTGCGCAAAGCATGATCACTGTACTAAAAACATTTTTTTAGTATGTTTACCAAATGTAATAATTAACATAATAAAGTCTGCTTAACCATTTGGTACTCATGACCACTCTCTGGTTCTCCCCCCTCTCAGGTGTAGTGTCAGTCAGTTTTGAAGAAGATGAGGAAGGGAACCTGTGCCTCATCGCATACCCCCTCCACAGTGAATCTGGGGACCTAGAAAACAAAGATCCCTCTGCAGACTGCGAGCCCAAGAGCAAGATGCTGAAGTTGATCAACAAGAAGCAGTCCTCGCTGCTGGTGGAGAACGAGAACTACAGCAAGGACCGAGCTCGCCACAGCCGGAAAGAAGACAAAATGATGAGGTGAGGATGCTCGTCCCAACACCGCGTCACTTCATAACCGATGAGTCTTCATCGACGCATTCTGTAACACCAATGTTGCGCGTCTTTTCTCTTTCGTCACTTGTGCAGTTACAAACGTGATGAGATGCAGCAGCAGGCCGAGGTTCTCTACTTCAGCCTGGAGAAAGGCAACGTTGTGCCACAGATCAAACACAACCCCTGGAGTCTCAAGTGTCACCAGCAGCACTTGCAAAGGATGAAGGAGAACGCAAAGCACCGCAACCAGTACAGTATCCTTTCACGAGTACACGGCCGGCATTTGGTGTCTCTGTGTGCACTGAAGCAGACGGATGGGTCTTAGACATTAATATAAACAGTTAGTTTTAAAGGTCTTTGGTTACCGTGTGATCCTTAACCCCCCTTGACAGAATTTATTCTTCTGGAGAACCTGACCTGGCGCTACACTGTACCGTGTGTCCTGGACTTGAAGATGGGAACCCGCCAACACGGAGACGATGCATCAGAGGAGAAGAAGGCCACTCAGATCCGCAAGTGTCAACAGAGCACATCTGCTTCTATTGGAGTGCGACTTTGTGGCATGCAGGTACGGCGGAGATGCAACACACCTCCTTTGGCATTGAAACGTTTTTGTATTGGCTACGCGCCGAGCCCGAGCGCTCATGTTTCTGTGTAACCTGCAGGTGTACCAGTCCGACTCAAGCCAGCTGATGTTCATGAATAAGTACCACGGCCGTAAGCTGACTCTTGACACTTTCAAGGAGGCTCTCTATCAGTTCTTCCACAACGGGTGTCGCCTTCGCCGGGAGCTGCTGTCCCCGGTGCTGCGCAGACTCCGGGAAATGCAAGCGGCCCTGGAGTCCTGCGAGTCTTACCGCTTCTACTCGAGCTCCCTGCTCATCATCTACGATGGAGACCCTCGAAGGACGCACACGAGACCCAGACACCGTGGAGGCGAAGAGGGTGACGAGGATGAACCGTCTGATGAAGAGGAAGAGGAGGAGCCAGAGGAAGAGGAGGATGACGAGGAAGAGGAGGGGGCCTTTGGTTTCCCTCGACCTTCCTCTGCAGGCAGCAGTCGCTCCTCCTCCTCTGGCACAGGAGAGACCAGCAGCCCCGCGGTGGACGTGCGCATGATTGACTTTGCTCACACCACCTGTCGGCACTATGGAGAGGACAGCGTGGTGCATGAAGGCGAGGACAGTGGCTTCATTTTTGGCCTCCAGAACTTGATCAACATTATCTCTGAGCTGGAGGATCACAGTACTGACTGATGCCGGGCTGGAGCCAACACGGTCTAAATTTCCAGGGTGGGACGAGCTCGTCGACCTGAAACCCTGCTACTCCAAGGTGCATCGCCCTCACGCCTACGTGGACGTCTGACCTTCAACCGCTTGGAGGGAACCTCCGACACCTCGGGGTCAGAAGGGAATGGCGCGTGATTGTTTACGCGCGCTCTCTCAACCCGACAGAGGCGAGGGCGCCCTGCGTCCTTACTTGCACTTTTCTCTTTCTGGGACTTGCTCCTTCTCTCTGTCAGACATAGCAGGAGAAACGTTGTATGAGGCCACAGACGTTCAACAAACACAGGGACTCCTGTAGCATCCTGGGACCCTCCACCTCCCCGGCCCCTTTCCTCTCTCCTCCTCTGGTACAGACGAGTTTCTTTATTGTGGAGTTCTCTCTGAGAGAGAGAGCGTGAGAGCGCGGCAGAGTAAACGAAAGCTCAAGTGTAGTTGTCCGACATGGTGCTTTACCTGTGATGTGACATTTGTTTCGGTTTATTTTGGATGAAGTTTGGACTGCCGGTCCTGCATAGCACATTACTAGTGGGAAAGTTGACTGTACAAGCTGACCGTGGCTGGCTAGGTCAGTAACTTGAAATTTGAAGCTTCGGAGAAGGACATTTCTTTCTTTCTTTTTTATTGGTGTCCCCCCCCTGACAACAAACATGGTTTGTGTCCACCAGGCACTTGTAATTTACACATGTTGGTGGAAGAACAAGATTGTATTGGTCAAGAAAAAAGGATTGGCCTTTTTTCAATAGTTTGTCTCCCCTGTACTTTTTTGTTTTTGCCTACAAACAAAAGACTTTTGGAGAGGGTAATATCTTTGTTTTGTCTCTGTGCTTGTTTTTGTCTGATTTTTTTCCTCTTCATTCCTGAAACTTTGACTAAACAAAGAATATATTAATTAAAAACACTAGCTACAAAGACTATATAAAGATTATTTATTTGAAGGGATTGTAAAAAAGAAGCCGCTACATTCCATACCACCACTCTATCCGTTCTGATACCAACTTTGATTTATTCTACTATTATAGACGATGGCTCTCTGTAAACCTGTGTGTTAACAATGTCTTGAGAAATAAAGGCATTCATTTGTTATAACAGCTTGTGTCCACATGGTGTTCATTTATGCATACATATGTGTATTAAGACATTATTCACTTAGTTTCTACTCTTAACAAATGGACACAGGGGTCCAAGGCATCTGATTTCTAACCAGATTAAGATTCGAGCTTCACTGAACCACATCTGTGTGAATCTTTAGATCGATCTCAATGCTTCACCTGGCAGAAGAAAGCTCCCTTTACATCCTCCAGAGGAGAAACGGTTGTCTACTTGCTCTTCTATTTAAAAAAAAAAAAAAAAAAAATGTTGCTTCTTGTGCTGCCTGTGCAGCAAGATGAAATGATGAGTCAGCCAAAACCACTTTCTGCGCACTGAGGATGTTTGAGGTTGATGTATGTAATCTAAAAGGAATAAAAACGCTTTCTCTCTGAGGTGATGTTGGTGTGAAGGACGTTCCTTAGCAGTGGGAGCTGAAGCTGTTTGCGTCTTTTGGGTAATTTTAAATACTTAAGACAAAATCTCTATGCAGGAAAGTCTCTACCAAAGGAACAAGCTTTCCCCTCAGGGTTTACTTTATTGTTTGCAACGTTGCAACGATAACGTCATACAAAGGTTGTAAACCTCATGTTGCCTGCTTCCTCAAGGCCGGTGTTCATTATTAAGCGGTTGAGGACTTTTGGCCTGGTTCCCGTTCGGCGGTGACATCGGTGACTGATCTGCACCGGGCCTCAGATTATACACTTAAACCCTAAAAAAACTTCCTGCTGAGCTGTAATGCTAAGCTGAAAAAACATGCGAGTTGTTAGCCGACAGTCAACACATCCCAGGCAGCATCCTCGGATGACCCGCTATTTTTTTCAACCAGCTGGACCCTGATCCCTAAACTCCCCGGTTAAACGAGTGCACGGCTGTAAGTCCACAGTAGCACTGATAGAACGCTCCGTCACCATTCAGAAACTTGGCACACCTGCTTTACACAAAGGGTGGGGTTGTTGGTGACATTTCCAAGCGCTGGGCGATGACGTAGATACAGCGGTACCTTCCTGGTTCCATACCAGCGCTATTGTACGACATAAAGGAGAGTGTAAATATCACACGCGTTGTCAGATCCACAGTCGACTTAACTGGGACAGACTGACTCAGAGTCTTCAGATGACCCACATACTCCGACTTAGTGTGCAACAGTATGTTAGTCTTTTATTCTCTTTTTATATATTGTTCTTTATTTGTGAAAAATAAACTGCACAGTATGTGCAGAGCAAAGGATAAAGTCCATGTAAGCTTAAGCATATTGTGACATTCGTGCAGGTATGAAGCCAAAAATGAGAAACAAAACACCTTGAATGATTGAGCTGTTCCAAGTGTAGTTTGGATCGCAGAGGATCCAGATTTTTCTGCCCTGCCTCTTTCGGTCAGGACATTAGGTGAGGGGGGTTTGCAGAGAGAGATGATAGCACAAGGCACGAGATAAGAGGGATTATCATTTCTCTTTCTACATCTAAAAATAACCGGACCTTCCCTTATCATCCGCTACCTGCATCATAACAGATTCAGTATGCGTCTGTCCTGTATGGCGTTGATTTAAGCTTCTTCATGTGGTTTTGACTAATACTCCCAAACACACACTGTTGCAATCAAACTTCTTCAGCCCCAATTGCACATTAGGGTTCATTGGCCAAATATACAAATTCTCAGCGGTATACAAAACGAATTACACAAAAACTGAGTAGTTCAATGGAATAAATATTACAAGGATTTTATCAAAACTCATACAAAATCATTCAACCCCTTCATGTCAAGCATCTTCTGTACTTATTAGAGCCCTCTTTTGCTGTCAACTGCCTCCTTTAAAGGCAGCCGCTCATCCAGGTAGTGAAGCCACTGTGCATTCAACTTTGAACTTGTAATCTATACTTCCTACTGTAGAGATATCAGTGCTTTTGATATCTCTTTGTATCTCGTCTCCTGTTTGTGCAAGGCAATGATCTCTTCACTGAACATTTTGGACAATGCTTTTGACAGCCGTGTTTCTAACATGCAATCAACGTCACTCTCAATAAACCCCCAGCCAGTCCAGGTACGTGTTCTATCTCAGGCACACTTGAACTAATAAAGCCCTTCATTGGTGCATGTGCTTGAGACAGGTGGTTGAATATAAGTGCTGAAGATGCATGTCATGAAGGGGTTGAATCAGAGGGAGCAGTAGTGATTAAAAGCATTTTGTGTTGAATTTGGATGAAAACCATGGTAATATTAGTTTTCATGAACTATTTCAACCGTTCTTGTTTGCTTTGTTTATTGCAAACAGCTGAAAGATTGCACAACTGGCACAACCTTATAGTGCACAGCAGGAAAGTGTATTTGATTAGGGGCAGAAGACAGCTCACCTGTGTAATGAGGGGTTGCTTCACTCCATATGCTAATTTTTTGTCTTTTGGTATTTTCTTTGGATGAGTAGTTGATGGTGTTTGGGTAGATGATCTGACTGTGTATACAAGGTATCTTCATTCTGACCGATGGTGTTAAAAGGCCTTCTGTTGCAGACAGGATATTGTGCTGCAAGAAAGAACCTATTTCTTTGTCAAACAAAAAAGCAGAGAGAAGTGAAAACTTTAAATAACCCGGATAGCAACAAAGAAACAGCTCTATATGCTCAAAGGTTGGAAATGTAAGAACTTTTGAGAACTTGTTTTGAGAAATCTACATTTTTTAGATACTTTACGGGAGGACTGATCCCAATACAAACCTTGTGTCATTTTAGGATTAGGGGAAGAGCACTGGGGAAAAAAAGTCAATATTAGAGATAGATTGGCTGGAAGAGATGAATAGAAGACCACAAAAACCACCCACAATTATGCTGGAGGCTCTTATGTGACCGGGAAGCCAACCAAACTCTTGTTGCAAATGAAAGATAATACGGGATGTGTCATTTCAAACAGCTGTACTGTGATGTTCCTCAGGAAGATTGAAGAGGTAGTACAAAGAAGAGACCGATACCTGGCACACTACAGCAATGCTTTCAATGTATTCCAGAAGTTTTTTGCAATGGAAAATGACTTATGTCCTCACAGGCAAAGAAGCATTTTTTGTTGTTGCAGGAAATGGAATTATTCACCTGAACAGTTTAAATACGAAACGTTTTAGATGTTGAATAGTTGAAAAAGAGTGTGTGTGTGTGTGTGTGTGTCCGTATGCCCCTGTGTAAAGTTCAGGATGCCACGCAACAGCTCATGCTTTGACTTTAGTGTCAAAGCATATGATGCAATCCTCCTTGAACTTTGCTCAACCCAGCGATCAGATAAATCAGCCACCACAAGGAATAATAAATTGCTCAGAAGAAGAATGTATGATAGCATGAACCTGCACACACTGTGCTCACATTGGTTGATCCATTTTCATATCAGGCCAGTTGCATCACAGTCGCAGTCTCATCACCTCCTTCATTTTGTTAAGCATCAAAAGGTCTCCATTCACTTCCCCCTTCTGTTATTTTCTTTCCTTAATTGAGGCGATTGTTATCTTGGCCTCATTGCAGCACAACAACAGTAACCCCATGTGAACAAGATGGACGAGTCCTGAATGCTGAGGTTGAATAAACAGTGCACATACAGAGACTTCTGCTCTGGGTTTTTTCCTTTTGACGCGACCAAATGAGAGCTGGGATTGTGTAACTGCTCAGTGGTGTCACGCACTGTCTAATTTCTCACCAGCGCCAATGGAGGTTGTGTCAGGGCCCCCATCAGCTTCCCCCGAGATCTATTTATGCCACCAAATCCACTGGAGTCTGTTGTCAGTTGATCAGCATCACATATTTATGCAGATGGTTAAGTGCAGCAACAGGTGCACCCGAATCGTGCTGGGGAAAATATTCCACACGCCTCTCCGTGGGGGGTCAAGTAGAGGCACGGATAGCTGAGATGGAGCTGAATGTGTCACTCGGTCTTTGTGGAGCGTCTTCCCATCCGGGCCCCAACTATTCATCTAAGTTCATCTAAGTTCACTTAGAGAACTTTTTCAATCTTTGGCATGAATTGTGGTGACATACGACACTGTATGCGGAATAAATGAGGCACACATTTTAGGGTGAGTAAGTGTGTGAGCATGTGAGCCCTTTCTTGGGCCAATCAAAGGACCCAACAAGACGTAGGAAGATATTTGTTCCCACATTGGAGCACACCCACATTCGTTCTCCCTGCAGCAATCGCATTGAAGTGACTGTGTGTGCTTAAAATAACGCAGACAGGCCAAGACACGCAAAGAAAGCAATGGCTGTATGTTTACTCGTCTGGATTTACCCCGATGACTAGGGTCCGATTAATCAAGGTGAACCGTCGCAGCGTTATGTCGTGACTTGCCACTCGCTCCCCGTTCTCCCGTCGGTGGGATTTTCCGGTTCTCTGTTAGAAGATCACTGCATTAATCCTCCTCGCATACATTTTCCACTTCATACATGACGTGACACCAGACTTTTTCCCTGGAGTAATTGCAGTGCCCTTAGATGGATTATAATGAGTGAGTGTGTCTGTGTGCGTGGGAGGTGAAGGCCGGATGTTGAAATGGAAAGTCCTCCCTAGCTGGAAACCTTTTAATTACTATAATAAATGTTATAGAATGGAACTGACAATAGTTTCACTTCTCATTTATCACTCTCGGAGGAAGTCCCTCGCTTTTAAAAGACAATGTAGGTCTTCATTATATAATGCGTTGTTTCGAGTGTTACTTAACATAATTCTATTCAGGCAAAGTTGTCTGCTGCCGGTTGTCCGTGCATGAGATGTCTTCATTTAAGTTTTGCAGAAGCAAAGCTTTGGCTGTGACACCTTGCACATTTATTGTGTGTAAACAAGAGAAGACTCATCTTCGATGGGGTCGTTTGACTGTCACAACCATGTTCACCACGTGAAGTGCGTAGATGTCAGAGAACCTTTGAACAGGTTGCATAAGACAGTTAGATTGAAGCTGCTTCGAGCACAACTGTTAGCCTGAGATTAGCAGGACAAAAGCCGACACAGCGACTTATAACCTGTTGACTAAAGACAAGAGAGCTGTTTGGATATTGTTCAGATTGACAGATTTAGGGATATTTATTTTCATGTAATGATTATGTAAAGCGCAAAAGAGCCGAGTTGTTCTTCATTAACCATCTACTGCTGTGTTCGAAAATATCTGCAGGGAGGAGTTATAGGTCTTTACATGTGTGCATGCTTATGTAACCCACGTGCATGAGGTTGGGGACACAATGTTCTTCTGTCTGCTGCATTACATTTAACCCACGACATTAACCCTTCACCTCTTTTACTGCACATATACTCTCTGTTTGTTGTGGTAGAATATTGTATTCCAAGGGTCGCTAAGAGTTCAGAGCGGTTGTTTACCATTTGAATAATCCGATTCACCAGCGAGCCCCCAGTGCATGCAAATAATCCACCATGTGAAGGACAATTTGTGATTCAACCGCTTATAAGACGGGAGAGAGACGGTCGGGAACATAATATTGTCCTGTTACTATAAACATCAAATGGTGACCCTTCCAAAGCCCCTAACATGCAGAGATAGAACAAAACAATTCAAATAAAGTTGTTTAAATTAGAGGGGAAAGTTGGCCTCGCTAATGGGAACAGAGCTGGAGTGTGTACAGCGGGTGACCTCGCTTAGATGGAGAGTATTTACTGGTGCAGTAGACAAGAGAGTGAAACTGTCTCTGAGACAAAACAAAAACGGAAATGAATGTGAGAAAAGAATAAGCCTGGGTCGTTAAAGAACGACCGAAACAGTGAAAGAAATTCAACATTTCTTCACGTTACGGCAACGTCAAAGACTCTTACACAACGCCGGCCATCAAGCAACATTTGCATATGTCCATGTGCACACCAACAAAGAGAAGAAATGTAGAATGAGACATGTGACAGTAGTGCTGGAAGTACTTTGTTTATTTCCTTCCTTCCTGATAAGTAAATTACAAGATTCATGCCACTTTTATTCTTGTCTGTTCAATGTGAAGCTGCGGCCAGCAGCCACAAAGCCCTCTAAAGCTCCCTGATGAACACATTATGTCCCGTTAATTTGTCCGTAAAAAAACAAACACAACCAACAACAGCTGGCAGTCCTACAGGGGTTGTGTAAGAGTCCACTGGTTGCCAGCAGAGCAAACTAGTTGTTTCCTCATTGTCGTAATGAGCTGACCGTCTCCTGTGGCCTCATGTTTACAGCTGAGACACGAGAGTTGCCGTCTTCTCACCTCATCAAGGGGGAAAAAGAGAGATACTGTGAAAAAAGTCTTCACCTGTATAAACTGTGTATAGTGTATACACAGTTTGTACAGGTGACGGTTATTTTCACTGTATTTACATGTGCTGGACTCATTTAGACCTTTGTCTTAGGTCCATAGTTCCTCATGCTGACCAGTGCAGTTTGAGTAGAACGTGTTGGTATAAACTGAGTAAGCGGGGACTCGTTCTGTGTTTGTCGCTCGAGTCGATGTCATCAAAAAGTGAAGAAGTGGTTTCAGGTGTGCACGGAGGAATATTCTCCATAAAGGACTTAATTTGATTTAATCAAGTTCAAATTTGAAATGTTTTTGTATTTTACTTGAGTGGTTCCATTTTCTTCAACTTAATACTTCAGCTCCACTTTAAATATATAAATATTGTGGGTTTTTTTTATTTCCCTACACCTTGACAGCTCCAGTTACTTTTAACTTTTCTAGTTTGGGGAGTTTTTTCTGTGCCGATGGTGGGTTTTGGGACAGAGGATGTCGTATGTGTACAGGCTGTAAAGCCCTCTGAGGAAAATTGCGATTGTAATTTGCGATTTTGGACTATACAAAATAAAATGAATTGAATTGAATTGAATAGTTAGTACTTGTGTGTTTGTTTCTTTGCACTAGTCTAGTGTGGTTTGGTTTTGTGCACTGCGGCTGTGACATGGCAACGTTTAATTAAGTTTATCCATTTATCTATTAATGTGTCCATCTCAACAGTATATGAAATATTTGAATGGGACCTTCAACATCTACAGCAAGAAAATGCAACATACGTATTTATGCAGCAGTATTATGACTGTATTTGTGTAGTATTTGTGATGCTCAATGAAAATAATGTATGCTATTTCCTACAAATTCTTTGAATGCAGGACTTTTACTCGTCATACTGATATTGTTGTATTCTTACTTTACTAAAGCAAAGGGTCTGAATAGTAAACTACTGGGTATCAGTGAGTTTCTGGGAAGTGTGTAGAGACTTGTAGCGGCTCCCAGCACACCTGTGTCCTGCAGTGTGGTAGTCAAACAGACAGCCGGAGACAACGCCTTGCATGCAGCTTTGTTCTGCTGAAGGAGCCTCTCCCTGATCGTTTCCCCAGTGCCAAAACACTTTGGGCTCTCTGTTTTTAGGGAGTGTTGTGAAAGGCCGAGCTCTTTCTCTGCCATCATCCTCTTTTAATTATGTGAGAAAGGATTTCGCCTCCTGTGACCCGAAACTCACTGTTGATTGTTCACCGCTTTCTAAAGAGGGAAATAAAAGGTATCAAGGTACTTGAAGCCAATCTTGACATCAATACTAACGACAAGGGACGTACAGTGAGACATGTTGGACATAGTATCATACTGCTGTGCTACTTCTTCAGTTGACATGATCACTGTGAGATACATGTAGTGGACACATGATGATCTTTACGGATAAAAGATTATTTGCAGGGCTTTGAGGTGCCATTAATTCTGTCGAGTGCTCGTGCTCCCCTTCATGGTTTTGTTGGGTGTAAACTTTGTTATCTGGTGGGAAAAACCGCCAAACTGCCTTCACTCGTCTGCATTTCCTGAAGTTGACCAGAGATCTTTTGTTTAAGCCACTGCTGCTCTCTGGTGGAGACGTGAAGGTTTTCCGATGGGGAAGAACGGCTCAGGAGAGAAGAAGAGGTCGTCCGATTGTTTACGTACTGACGGCAAATCTAGAAACAATGTGGACAAATTACGATACGATCAAACATTCGGAATCACAACAAAATGTGTATAAAAGTGTATCAAAATTAGTAATATTATTATAATTATTATGGTAATAATGTTCATTTGTATTAAATAAGAATTATTAAATAATTATATAATAATATATAATAATTATTTTAACAAATAACTAAATTGACCACGTGTTCTACACTCGTTTTCCTAAAAACAGTGGCATGTGTCGACCGGTAGAGGCCTGTTCTTCAAATCCTTGTTCTTCGTGTCCGTAGTGGTGACGTGTCTGTTAAATTTCCCCTCCTCCTCCTCTTCCTCCTCCTCTTCCTCCTCCCCGCGGCGGCTCAGTCAGTAGTGAGATTGAGTCTCGTCAGATTTACACAGTAAAGGAGCCCGTAGAAGGACGGTTGGGACATCATGGGCAGTGAGTATGACTTTGCCGCTCAACGTGTACGATGATGTGTCGATAGAAAGTGGCACGATTCTCTAAATAGAGTTTTACCTGTTTTGTTCAACTTAGCTCGGTTAGCTAGCGGTGTTAGCGCTGGCATTGATAGCCGGCTAGCTAGCGCTGCTAATTCCCAACGCCAGCTAGTTGGCTGTTGATTTTGTGCTAGCAAGCTAGCTTTTTATGGCAAATGGTTGGTGGATTCCAATAAACAATTTGGTAGTATTTGTTTCACGATGTTTTTTTCCATCTTGGTTCGAGATTGTAGAACCGTCACGGTGGGTTTTTTATGTCGACAGGAACATCTTCCTAGCTAACTTGCTAGCTACTCATTCAAAGACACTGACAGTCTAGTGATGACGACGCATAACAGAACCGGTGTTATCTTCAGCCTGCTGTTCCCAAACCATGTGCCTAACGCGACGTAGCAATGATATTAAGGTTATGGGTCATAGCTGGAAACCCGGTGATACAAATTTCCCCGTTTGACATGAATGTGTTCGGTACACGTTAGTGGATTGAAGTCTGTAGAGTCCGCCCACCATTCACTGCCACGTCCCACTGGTGAGCAGCTATTATTCCATACAAGTCTCATTAATGCTCATCGTGCGTTTCCTGTTCCCAGTCAAATTCTTGGAGGTGATCAAGCCGTTCTGTGCAGTGCTGCCAGAGATCCAAAAACCCGAAAGAAAGGTCTGTATTACGCTTATTAGTACATTTGCTTCTGCCACTAATGCCAAAAAAAAGCTGTTGTTGATGATTACTTCACGTACTGTCATTGTCTAACAGATCCAGTTCAGAGAGAAGGTATTATGGACTGCCATCACTCTCTTCATCTTCCTGGTGTGTTGCCAGGTAAGTGACACAGTTAACTACTATGTTACAATGTTAATAAAAACGTATGGGGGAAATCCACATGATTTCCCTTATTTTGCAATAATTTCATTTATTTCTAATAGTACATTACAATCTCTTGCACTCACAAGCTTCATATAGCAATTTTATGTCAAATCAATTGGTTTTTATACATTATTTTCAAGATAATAAAATAAATGTATCTTACCATCACAATTTGTCATTCAGTTGCAAGAAGAGAGGGCCTGGTGCTTTTTAAATAAAGTTTAACTGCTAAACGCAAAATTCAGAGCATAGCTAATGTCTTTAGATATGGCAGTGGTTGAGTCGGTTGCTCTAAACTGACAATGCTAATGTCCTTCAAAGGGCAATCAACGGCAACAGTGCTGACAGACCTAACACTGTTTACTTGAGGGGGAAGAGGAGGGTGGGCTCTATGCTACTGCAACATTGGCGTCTGCTGTGAACGCATTATCAGCTGTGATTGCCGTAAGGGGTAATTGCAGAGCGGGGACCAAGAGCTAGCCAGTGGGGCACGTTATCATACACGCACAGTGAAAGTGGGATTCCTACACACACACAGAGAGACTGACTTCATTCGGTGAATTCTGACATTTGTCAAACTATCCCAACTGTGAATGAAGGGTTTCAAGTTTCACTTATAGTATTAAGAATTATTTTCCAACATTTGCTAGTTTATAGAAGGAATGCAACTCTAACCACAATGAAATAAAATTCTGACTTTTTTTCCTGCAGATCCCCCTTTTTGGCATCATGTCATCAGACTCAGCAGATCCATTCTACTGGATGAGAGTTATACTGGCCTCAAACAGAGGTATTTGTCCTGCTAATAACTGAGTAATGGATCAAATGTTTCTGCTCTTTCACTGCTATATCGTAACCTGAACATCTGCCCTCAGGTACCCTGATGGAGTTGGGTATCTCGCCTATTGTCACCTCGGGCCTTATCATGCAGCTGCTTGCTGGAGCTAAGATCATTGAGGTTGGAGACACACCAAAGGACAGAGCCCTCTTCAACGGAGCTCAGAAATGTTAGTAGACTCAAATCACTTACGTAAACATATGATAGGGATCTATGAGTATGTATATAGATTGTCTTACCACTCCTAATGTTTTGCAGTATTTGGAATGATCATCACCATCGGCCAGGCCATTGTATACGTAATGACCGGCATGTATGGAGATCCCTCTGAGATGGGTGCAGGAATCTGTCTGCTCATCATCATTCAGGTGAGAGTAGAAACTTTCGTCAATTTGTCATAACCATTTTGTACTAGGATATGTACTTTAGCATCAAAACGTTGTTAATAAGTAATAAAACTAAAAAGGAACAAACCGATGCAGATTGTAGTTACAATTTGATTTGGTGTAGATTCACAGTGGTGATTTATTATCACAGATAAATTCCTCACAGGGATGTTAACACATTTGTTCACTACTTTTAATTAAAGGGCTGCATCTGCAATCTTATTGCGTTTACTCACGGGGACAGTATGCTCCAGGAGCTCACACTTTATTATTTACATTTAAGGGTATAACTTAAATAGTCGGGATAGACCACTTAGACTTTCCAAAGGATGTGAATTCATTACGAAGTGTCTGTTCTTCCTCAGCTGTTTGTTGCTGGGCTGATCGTGCTGCTGCTCGATGAGCTGCTCCAAAAGGGTTATGGTCTTGGTTCAGGGATCTCGCTTTTCATTGCCACCAACATCTGTGAGACGATCGTCTGGAAGGCCTTCAGCCCCACGACTGTAAACACTGGAAGAGGTAAGAGCCCCAGAGGGCACAGCCAGTATGTGATTCTGATGTGCAGCTGCTGCACTTAACAGGACCGTGTCTCACACTGTAGCTGTGACTTTCTGTTTCTAGGTACCGAGTTTGAGGGGGCAATCATTGCGCTTTTCCATCTGCTGGCCACTCGCACGGACAAAGTGCGCGCTTTGAGAGAGGCTTTCTACAGACAGAACCTGCCCAACCTCATGAACCTCATCGCCACCGTATTCGTCTTCGCTGTAGTCATATACTTTCAGGTGAGTTTCTAGCCTTTCTTAACATGCAACATTTCTCAAAGCTTCTAATGTGTGACTTTATATTTTAATGGACAAGATAATAGAGACGGGGAATGTAAACAATTAAGGATTTGCTCACACCAAACTCCTCCAACAGGGATTCAGAGTTGATCTGCCCATCAAGTCAGCTCGCTACCGTGGGCAGTACAACACGTACCCCATCAAGCTCTTCTACACCTCCAACATCCCCATCATCCTGCAGTCCGCCTTGGTCTCCAACTTGTACGTCATCTCCCAGATGCTCTCCACACGTTTCAGTGGCAACTTCCTGGTTAATCTGCTTGGTACTTGGTCTGTAAGTATACACTTAATCAAATGTTTCCATGCAATTTGTCGAGCTTTTTTTTTTTAAGACCGAGCCTCTGAAAATGTACTCTGAAATCTGCAGCGGTCCCTTGTTTTTTTATAATGGAAATAATTTACCAACGCAAATGCTACTTGAGTCTCAAGCAGGGTTTTTTTTTGTCAACTAAACTAATGGTGTTTTTTTTAAAGCCCCTTTCCGATGAACGGACTATATGCAGTCATATATTTAGTCACGTTTATATGAAAATGTTTTTCTAACACTCTTACTCTTCTCTCGTGTGTGTGTGTGTGTAGGATGCAACGTCGGGCGGTCCGGCTCGTGCCTACCCTGTGGGGGGACTCTGTTACTACTTCTCTCCCCCTGAATCATTTGGCTCCGTTCTTGACGACCCCGTCCATGCAGTCATCTACATCGTCTTCATGCTTGGATCATGTGCCTTTTTCTCCAAGACCTGGATTGAAGTCTCCGGCTCATCTGCAAAAGATGTAAGTTGTAGCTGTTTTCAGCCAGGTGTCGTTATGAGTTTTTTTTAAACGGAGTGTGTTTTTAAAAGGGCCGTTCTTCCCTTTCATCCAGGTGGCAAAACAGCTGAAGGAGCAGCAGATGGTGATGAGAGGACACAGAGAAACCTCAATGGTCCATGAACTGAACAGGTATAATCCCAAAACCTTGTCTTTTGTAGATATCTTGCATTTCATTTACAGAGCTAATCAGCTGCAGATACAAGCCCTCATCATACATTTACATGAATTTATGTTTTTGTCACTAACATTTCAATAACCTCCATCTTTAAAGCAACTCATTGAAATCTTATTTCAACGTACCTTCCTTTTAATTCGCTTTGTGTAATCCCTCCAAATGTGTGACACTCGTCTAAGATCATTTTTAATCACAAATTCAGATTATTTGGTAAGGCATCGTGGGTATAGGGCAGAGCTCTTCACATCAGGTATTGTGGATTAGAAACGCAAATGAAAAGTAATTAAAAAAAAAAGTCGTATAATTCCAGCCTGGACTTGCCTCTTGCAAACACATTTACGGAAAAGCACAGATGTACCTACATAAACGAGTTGAATTGCATTTAGGTGCATCAGTTTCACGGTCTTTATTTCCTCCATGCTGCCACACTGACATGACCTTTGGGGAACTACTATTTTAATTGTCCCATCAGATTTTGTCTTTTTTAAATGCTATTTGAATGCCACCCAAATAAAGAAAAGCATAATACCTTGATAAAGACACAGGTTGATTTCCTTTTGTTTGTGGTTAGGTTTTCCTAATTTTATCTTCTATTCACTGCAAATCAGATGTGCAACCCTGCTCACCTCACGGTTCTCCACTTTGCAATCATACTTAATGTATTTGAATATCTACTATTCTTGTTATTTTGCATAATGAAACACCCAGTTGAAATATTTATTGATCTTTGTCTCAATCTGCTTTGTGTCATAGGTACATCCCTACTGCTGCTGCCTTCGGTGGACTGTGTATCGGTGGTTTATCAGTAATGGCCGACTTTCTCGGCGCCATTGGCTCCGGCACCGGTATCCTGCTGGCCGTCACCATCATCTATCAGTACTTTGAGATCTTTGTAAAAGAGCAAAGTGAAGTAGGCAGCATGGGGGCTCTGCTCTTTTAGAAAAGCCAATATCCTCCCACCCTTTACCAACTTTTATTAGGATCACCTACTTTACATTCATTTTACATCTCCGAGAAGCCCCCGCATCACCAGCCCTCCACTTTTCAGGATGACCAAGGAATCTCCGCTCAAATTGGACCTTACGAGGGGGTGGGGCTGCTCAGCTTTTTGCTCCTGCCTTGAATCCTCTAACGCAACACGAAGACAGACACTTCAGTTGTATTTCATCAGATTGTCAAACTGACTCAAAGTTAAAGTTTCCCAAAATGAATATAAAGGCTTTCTTTTTTTGTATGAGATGAGATCCTGCGGGAGTTTGGTCCTTTTTTCGGACTGACGATAGAGCGCTTCAGTATGCCGGCATACTCGACACGGATGATGGAGGTCAACTGCCTGCTGTGTGCTGAAATGTACTAAATGTTCTGCTTGGTGTTATCTTAGTTCATACTTTTTTATTTTCAGCTTTATCTTATTTCTTCAGCAACCTGCCAATTGTGCGAATGTGTGGAACAGAAGCTAAACTCTGAGTCAAGTACTGTCTTTTTTTTCTGATCTGTGTCCCTGTGTTATAGCTGTAATTGGAACAGAATATTTTCGGATGAGGCTGTGGAGCACGCATCCGCCTGTCGCTGTTTTTAATGTATGGCATTCCCAGGGAGCAGCAGTATTAACTCACTATTCACATTCAATCTCCCACTTTCTAAGATTATTTTTTGTTGTTTTTAATTGTCTGCTCTCGGCATCCTTGCATTAATCACTTTTTCCACACCTGAAAAACAAATTATAATTTTACTGTACATAAGCCATGCATTGAATAACTTTGAATTTGTGTAAAATACAATCTTTTGAATATGTAAAAAATAAATGCATTTCAGAACAAACTTGTAGAAAAAAAACATTCTCAATAAAACCTTTTTGTGGGAAACTGCTTAGTATTTTGACTCTTCTACTTGCGTTAAAGCTCAGCGTGGCATTTTTTAAAGAGTATAACAATTCCAAGTATTTATTAATGTACGATATCCTCTTATAAGGGATGGTGGTCTACAACAATCTGGAATTGTTGGCCAGTACCTCACCAAACAAAAAACGACTTAATCTAAGTACCAGTACGTTTTTATAATGGCAACATAACTTCAAGCCATGCATCGCAGCCAGGTATTTGTTGCAGAGTTGTGCAATGCAGATATACTGAATATTAATATACTGTCCTAGTTTCCATACTAATCCTCCTTTCTTGGATTTATCTCTTGTCCCAAAATGAATTTATTAAAATTCATATTTACATGATAATCATATCAGAGTTAGAGTGCTTGTGAGCGATCGTTTTGTGTTCTATGTGTCTCCTGTTGGGGGCGACAGATCGCCACCGACCGTCTGCGCTACCGGAAACACAACCACAGAAGAAGACCGCACTGCTCAAGAATAAGATGGTTATGAAACCAGCTAACGCTAGCTCTGGATGCTGCACTTAAACGTCGCTGCTTATTCATGTGTTGTGTAGCGTGTTAGTGAGACTCGTTGTCCTCGGCGCTGTTGCTGTTATTTTAAAAAAAGGAGAAATTTTATCCGCCCCAGCGTGAAGAAATGAGCTCTGTCAGAGAGGAAGGTAACCATCGTGTGCTAAACCGGCTAACTTCTCTGGAGAGCTAACGTAACGTTAACCCTGCAGTGTTGATCGGAGTCTGAATGAGAACATGATTTGTGCTTTTTCCCCAGTTGTTAAAAGCGTAATAAAACCGCATTGTGTTTCTATGAGAACCAAGACTTAAACGATCGACACACCACGAGTGAACAGGACTGATGGAAGCGTCACGATGAGTCACACTGATGTAACGTCATCGTTACTCTCAGTCACATTGAGTCCTCCTCACACTTTGTCCTCGACTTCACCACACGTCAAGGTTTAAAACATCTTGCGCTCCATTTACGTACGATTTTGAGGTCGATTGTGCACATTGTGTTAACTTTACATGTATTTGACGTCTAGGCACTACAGGTAATTTAACACGCAAGCCACATTTAAAACGATGCTAAATGCATTGAATCTTTATGACTGGTGACACCTCACAAAACTTTTTTTTGTTTTTTTGTCCGTTTTTAGGTCAACTGACATCAAACTTTATATAAAGTAGTTTATACTAGCTTCATCTTAATTAGACTGTAAAGTTCTAAAATTCTACCTCAGCATTGATGCATCAGTACTGACAAAATAAGATGGTGACATGTGCTCATTTAACAGTAACAAGAGACATTGTGTTGCAGAACCTTTGAACTTTGATAGTACATTTCGATGGTAATATGTTGCTACTACTTCAGACCTTACCTTGAACTGGAGTATTTACATGGTTTTACTGATAATTATAGTTATCGAAAGAATCTTATTGTGCTTCTTTCACCACTTCACTTCTCATCTTGTACAACTTATTTTCTTTTGTGCCTTGATTTTATCATCAATCCGTTGATCAGTTAATTACGGGTCATGCATTGTTTAGTTTTTCAATTTGAGAATAAAGTGAAAAGTGCCATCACAGTTTTGCAGAATCAAATTCACTGCAAATCCTCACATTTGAGAAGGTGGGAGCAGCACATGTCTCAATGCCACGAACACACTTATGACACCAGGAGCACCAGAAGTTGCACCGACAGATCATTCTTTAATAAAAAAAAGGCAAAATTTTGACCGGTTCAGTTTACACAGCGGGCTTTAGTGAGCAACGTGCACTACACAGTTTAAATTGGAATGACAACAGGACCGGCTTTTACTTTGATTATCCCCAAATCGAAAAATAAGTTGAGGCAGTTCTTCTAATTCATGGTTTGATTGACTTGTTCTTTCAAATTTTTCTCAACAGGTAAAGACAGAATTATCTTCGTCACCAAAGAGGATCATGCATCACCCAGCAGCGCAGAGCTCGTCGAGGAAGATCCTAATGATCCCTATGAGGAACGCGGTGAGGAGCAGTACCACTACCAAGAGAACCCTGTTTTCAGACTTATTTGTTGCTCCGGTTAGGTTTGATGAAGCCAATTTCAACCTGTGTATTAATTCAATACCTCCCTCTCTCATCTTAGGTCTGATTCTCCCCAGTGGAGAGATAAACTGGAACTGCCCATGTCTGGGTGGGATGGCCAGTGGTCCCTGTGGGACTGAATTTAAGGACGCCTTCTCCTGCTTCCATTACAGTAAGGAGGAAGTAAAGGGTTCCGACTGCCTGGAGAATTTCAGGGCCATGCAGGAGTGTATGCAGCGTTACCCGGAGCTCTATCCGCAAGAAGATGAGAAGGAACAACAACAACAACAATCCTCAGAAACCAAGCCGACCTCACAAGACTCTGCAGAAACATCAGGTGCAAACTCCTCTGCAACCAAGGAAGACTCTGATACAACAAAACCCAACACAGACGACTCAGTGGAAAGTTAATGATGAGCCTTGATGGCAACGGGAGCAAAATGCTTTTAACGGCACTAAATTCCAAATTCAAAGCGTAAAGATGAATCTGATTGCCTCCACACAGCGGTGGCTGAGCCCGGCAGCAAGCAGCTAAAGGTGCTAACAACATTAGCGGTGCCGAAAAGGCAACAGTTCCGATGGCGGCCGGTCGGCACGTTGTCAGCTGTGTCCGCCATGTAAGCGCAGAGCGGCGCCGATTAGCTAGTGACTTATTGTCTACTCAAGTAGACCCTACTTCACTATATCTTTACATTGCAAATAATCAACTTGCTGTTAAATTAATATTCTAAATTTGGAATTTAGCACCCTTTTAAAGTCCAATTGAGATCCGTTAGTCATCGCTTTATTCAGTCTTCAGATTATATCAATGTCTTTTTCAACTTTTTTCTGTCTATTCATTTTTTCTCATCAAAAGAAAGAAAATGTTTCTGAAGAAATATTTGAAATTTTCATTTTGCTCCAACGCCAAATTCGGCCACAGCGAGGAGCTGATGGGACGAGGCCCATCTTCAAACTGGACTCTGATTTCGATACCAAAGTCCAGACTCACAGACGTTCAGGCTCCTTCCTGCAAAGTGTGCAGAACTGTCCCACTGTCAAATCTAGTCTTTAATCGCTCACTTGCAAATATGTTTGTTCCTGTATTCACACCGTACTCCATAACTCTCCATGGCTGCAAGGGGAACAAAAAAGGTAAACAAAGAGGACGGCGCCTGGCTGTTCAGTCGTATCTAAGGAACAACCCTGAAGGACGTTCCAATCAGGCCGTAAAAAAATGTCACATAAATGCCCACGATAGTTGATAACATGTCCTGGCAGCTTCAGGCTAATGTGATATGTTGCCGCATTCCCATTTGTAAATAAACCCTTTCAAGCCCTTGCACTCTGTAACGTGCATGCAGGTGATGTTACTTCAGTCCCTGAGGGTTTATGGCTTAAGGCCTGAGGTGAACATTGGGATCAGGCTGTCATTCATCTGTAAAGTAAAGGTTTTTTCTATTTGATTTATAAAGTGTGTCCAAAGACGGACCCAATACATAAATATGTCTCCCTTGCTGACGTGGGATTTTGGTAGATATGTGTGCGCTCCTGTAGGAGGAAAAACATGGCGTTCAATTCATTTCATTTGGACGTTAATCTCTATTTATTGAAGAGGGGCTTATACTTTCAAATTAAGTGAAACATTCAAGTGAGCTAAACAAAAGAATCAATTCCATCAAAACCTGGTAGACTATGCTCATTATACACTGTACACCTCAGTGTAATTCTGTTTGTGTCAAGTCAAGATGGTTTTGTGTGTCTGTTGTGATTAATCCTGACTCTAAATTTATAAGATCACAGTAAAACATCTTTTGTGCTCATTTCCATCCTCTCGGATATTCTATTTCACATTTATTGTGTTTATAAAAATTGATATATGACTTTGACTCAATTTCTATTGGTAAAATAACATTTCATTAAAACAAATAATTGCTAAATTCACAGAGCATGAAGAATATACTGAAGGCTACGAACCATTTCTACTGCGTAGTCTTTAAGTAGTGTTTCCACATTTGGCATGTGTCCAATATGACTGCATTTCTCCTGCTAATCTACAACCAGACTTAAAACCTTTACCTGGACCTTTTGTGTCCAACGCGGGACGGCAGGACGTCACTTATCCTTCTAAAAACCAGCCTGTCTTGTTCAGCCATTTGCTCTACAATCACATAGTATATCTCTGCAACCACAAAGTCTATTAAATATATAATAATAATGTTGGTGATACAACACAGATGTGTAATTATCACTGTATGAGTTTCTGGTTAAGAGTGAATGAAGATGGCAGCAGAAACCAAAAGTTTCAGGTTTGCCAAAAAAGAAATAGCGCTTTCAGGCTGATTGTCCCGTTCCTTCTGCAGTTTGACTTTGATGAAGTGTATGCATGTATTTCACTTTTATGCCACTAATGGTGTTCAATACATCCAAATACAGTATAGTTTGAGTTAAAAATCAAGTCAAATAAAATTGACCTTTCCCATTAAAAAAAAATAACCACTCAAATGAACTGAGTGTTATATTACATTTCATGTCATTTAGCGGACGCTTTTATTCAAAGCGACTTACAATAAGTTCATTCAACCGTACGGATACAAACTCAGAAGCGCAAGAAACAAGAAAGTGCAATTTCCTCAAATAAACCAATTTACAATTTGCTATACATAAGTGGCGTTACTAGTATAATTTAAGTGCTACAATTTGTTAGTCTTTAGTCGAGGTAGAGTCTGGAGAGGTGTGTCTTTAGTTTGCGGCGGAAGATGTGAAGGCTCTCTGCGGTCCTGGTGTCTTCAGAGAGCTCGTTCCACCATTCTGTTGAATCCAAATGGAGCCAATTTACCATTTAATTGTGTAAGAACACACATAAAACCCAAACTATTTACACCATCTTTTGCAATACTTCATGACCTTTGTCTCCTCCCCGTGGTAGAAAATGGGTGGTGGAGGTGGCTGCTGAGCTTTTACAAAACTCCAGCATCTCTTTGGCCAACTGCTCCGTGAAGACCTTGTGGGTGAAGGACTTCCACCGGGTGGGATCTTGCCCATCTGGAGCAGATAGCTCTTCACCACAGCGATGTCCACAAAGTGGACATATCAGTTCATGGTTTTGTGGCTGACGGTGTAATTTCCGATTAGACAAGTCCACACCACCATGCTGTTGTCCACGTTGCTGTCTGGACTCGTTTTGCGACACCCCGGCCTCAGGCGCCAACCTTTTTCTCCCCCCAAAGTGGGATGTGACAGAAAACGTTTGAGAACCACGGCTTTACAGCATGAAGTGTTGTGGAGTCACAGCTAGAAATGGAGGTGGAGCTATGTGAATTTTGACATCTGGGAATTCCTTTAGTTTTTGTTTGAGTTGTTGGACGATGTAAGAATGGATTATATGCGTGTAGACCAGGTTCTGCTGGGATTTGCAACAACAAATAAAACTTTGTGATTAGTGCATTTGTTTCACACAGTCTGTTGCTTTGGAGTTCATTTTATTTTTTGTCAGGTATTACAAATGCTGTTATATTAAAGTATTTGGCATTGCAATAATAACCTTTTTTTCTGAACACACCCCAATTGCACGTGTACTCTGTCATAAAGACCGAAGGTTTTGACTCGTACAGCTACAGCAGAGGGTAACATTGAGTCGACCATACGAGAGAAACCCTTTGAATTGGTTTCAATTCATTAATTCAGATTTATGAAATACTCCAAAACATCTCCAAATGCGTCATTGCTCTCTCCCAGTGACCTGCATCAGCAAAGATCCACTCTTTCCTGTGAGTAGTAATTCAATTATTCAGTTAATTACTCAGGTTGTACTTTCCACTCTCTCAGGCGCACAGTATTGACCATGTTAGCTGCTAAAAAGATAAAAATGAGAACACAGGCTATTATACTTTCTTGAAGGATCCTTTTCTTTTTCTTTTTTTTCCCCTTTCTTCATTATTACATTATGATGCTAAACATGCACCAACTGCACCTCATCAAAAATATGATGTTGTTAAGCTCTAGATGTGCTTTTCTTTTACACAAGCCATCATTTTATGTAACGGTTGTTGACCTGTCCAAAGGTTTTCAAACGCAGTCAAGCATCAGGAGTCAGAGGCCGATGACAGTGTTTGTCCCACTTCAAACTCACTCACGGATCAATAGTTACCAAACACCCCTTTTTCTGTCCGTGCCGTTCCATTGGTGGATCACGGAGGGCAAAGACGACCAAAAAGCCAATGAGACATCACCCTCACGTTTTGCTGCCTTCCATCTCCAGCGTGAACTCTGCGTTCAGGTTTTTGCTCCAGTGTGTGACAGAGACTCTCCGACAGGATGTCTTCGTTGAAGGAGATATGCAGCGGTTTACCGCTGGACCCCTTGCCTGTGAATCGGGGAAGGGACCCCGACGTACCACACGCACCTTTGAGAACCCCAAACCTCACAGCCGAGGAGGAGCGGGTGAGTGAATGTGCAAACAACGTCTGTTCATTGGACATTATTCTGCACCTTGAATCAGGCATCAATGGCCTCTGTGCACCTTAAATACAGGTGCAACTAATGTGATAGAAAATGGCTACATTCTGTTTTATGCACACCGACAAGAAACTGAGGAATGGTGAGTAGGTTCTCCTGAGCTTCTCCCAATATAACAAGACCAAGTACGATCTAAGAATGCTACTCTAAGGTGAAGATTTTGCTTCTCTAATGGAATGGAAACACTGTTCATGGCGAAGCTCGGCTGTGTTCAGAACTGTCTAACAAGTTTAAAAAGGGAAAAAGTAGAATACTGTTTAACATCTTGAAGCGATGTGAGCTAAAGGAGGTTACAGCTCACTGTCAACTAATACAAATGTGTCTGTGTGGATGCGCCATTTATCTCCATGCTTTGCTGTGTACTGACTTATTGCATCATCATTGTTGTCTCACAGTCACAGTCTGACTGACCGAACAAATTGATTATTCTCTAAAGTCCGTAACTGATTGCCCAAAGCGAAGGCTTCACTCCATAATTAAAAGAGACAGTGATTGCTCTGCCTGCCATCTGCCTGCCAAGTGCATCTGCTCATCCATCGGACTTGAACACTGTATTAAAACATTGATTTGCCGTGTTCAGCGTGTGTTCATTAGTGTAATTGCCTCTTCCTTCTAGTTGGCGCTGAGAAATGCTTTGCGTTATTTTCCTCCGTCCCACCACCCAACACTCGCACCCGAGTTTGCTCAAGAGCTGCGGCAGTACGGACACATCTACATGTACCGCTTCTGTCCCGCATTACGCATGAGGTGAGGCAACCGGAATATGACCCGACATTTAAGTGTCAAAGTAAATGCTAGGTTTTTTTTTACTTTGGTGTAAAAACATCTATACAATCCTTGAGATTTGCTTAATAAAACCAAAACACATGTTCAGGAACAATACAATACTGGCATGAACCGGTGGCTCGTGTTAGCTAACCTTTGATGCACGTTGCCCTGTAACCTGCCTCTGGTTGACTTTAGTTGACCTCATGACTGTAGATAAATATCTTACCACGAAACAAGAAGCAAACACATTGTACAGAAATCATCTGTATGTAAAACCGGCGGCCACAGTGGCTTCTGTTCAGAAAAGGTACAATGTTGCTTTTAGTCATTGTCTAGTTCTGCTCTTCAGCATCAATGTTTGAGTTTCCCTGCGTGTCTGCAGAGCTTACCCCATAGATCAGTACCCATGCCGTACACCTCAAGCCGCCTCCATAATGCTCATGATCATGAACAACCTGGACCCAGAAGTCGCTCAGGTGAGCCTCTAACGCAGCTTGGAATTAACTTTGTTAACACAGTGTGGGAATTCTTTTGTTTAATTCATTGTGAGGGTGACGTCTTCATTTTCCTTTTTCCATTCAGTTCCCCCAGGAGCTCGTCACCTACGGAGGGAATGGACAGGTCTTCGGTAACTGGGCCCAGGTGAGCCGTGAGCTAGCTCGGGTTTAGCAACAATGCATCCAGTCTACGTAGTTACACATTGACGACTTGTGGATCTTGGCGCAGTTTTGCCTGGTGATGCATTACCTGAGTGAAATGACAGAGGAACAGACTCTGGTGATGTACAGCGGTCATCCGATGGGCCTGTTCCCCAGCCTGCCATCATCGCCTCGCGCCATCATCACCAACGGCATGGTAGCTGCCGAACACACAGTTGATCCAACTTTCAGCCCGCGTACTCATGTGTACTGACACACACTCTTGTTTTTGCATCCCCAAGGTTATTCCAAATTACTCATCTAGAAATCAGTATGAAAAGATGTTTGCCCTCGGTGTATCAATGTAAGTCCAGAAGGTGCTTTTGAGTGGTAGAGTTATGCGGTATTAAGCCTCATGTGGGTTCATCATCATCATCATGTTTTGAATAATCTTTGTTCATTGGTTACAGGTACGGTCAAATGACGGCAGGCAGCTACTGCTACATTGGTCCTCAAGGAATTGTTCACGGCACCATGGTTTGTGAAGTTATTAAGAAAATAACTTAGTTCCCATGCCGAAGGACAGGAACCCAGAAAGAGGTTGTAGGATTAGTGTCACAAGATAGGGTTCGGGTTAGTAAGAAAAAAGCAAGCAAGAAAAAAAGAAATTCTTTCTCTTATACTTGATAGTTTCACTTTTGTAGACCACTAAAGAGGATCTAAATGAAACAATCTGAGGAGGCCAAATAAAGGTCATAACTGTGACTACTGCTTGAACCCGTTACCTTAATTCTTCCCTTCTGCGTCTCCCTGTAGCTCACCGTGCTGAATGCCGGCCGCAGGTACTTGGGCTCTGATGACTTGAGGGGACGCGTGTTTGTGACCTCCGGTCTGGGGGGCATGAGTGGAGCTCAGGCAAAAGCTGCCGTCATCGCCGGTTGTGTTGGTGTGATCGCGGAGGTCCGTTTCTGTCGAGTCCTTTCCCATAAACTCTCTGACCGAACAAGAACACGGGAAGTGCCGTGTGTCAGTGTGACTGTGAATTTGATTTCCGTGTAGGTGGACGAGGCTCCTCTTCGAAAGAGATATGAGCAGGGCTGGCTGATGGAGATCACCAGCAGCTTGGATCACTGCATTAAACGCATCAGGTAACAAAGAGAAAACGTCATCATGAGTCTGCAAACATTGCTGCAGACTCATCTTTACTCCATTTAACTGTCATGACGGTGTTAAGTTTTCGTGTTTGCTGTATGCTGAATCAGCTCCCACCGGTCACTTCCACATCCCAGAGAGAGACAGAGAGCGTTGTCATTCATGATGGATTAAACCGTACAACATTAACTCCCAGAGCCACTATCCTGTTCCTGCCTGATAAAACCATCCTAAACGTCTGGTCATCCCAAAATGCCATAAACTCTGTCAACTAGTGATAACATTATTTGTTTTTTCCCAACAATATCAAAATGTGCTTTTATACTTTTCAGAGAGGCCAAGATCTCCAAGACACCCCTCAGTATTGGTTACCATGGCAACATAGTGGACTTGTGGTAAGTTAGAGGTGAAGACGCCCCGCTGCCTGGACCCAGTCCGGGTCTGCAGTGAAAACCTTTTGTGACACGCTCACAAACCTCTTTGTTCTGCTCTTTTGACTTTCTAACCAGGGAGAGGCTGCTTCTGGAGTATGAGAGGACAGGGGAGCTCCTGGTGGATCTGGGCTCAGACCAGACCTCCCTCCACAACCCATATAACGGAGGCTACTACCCAGTCCAGCTCAGCTTCCGTCAGGCAAATCAGCTCATGGCAACAGATTCTGACCGTTTCCTAACTGTAGTCCAAGAAAGGTAATGTAGGTCACCCAGATGGAATTTTCTATGATAGTTTCTGCAATGAATGCCTCCATTGAGTTGAAATAATGGGGTTTTCATGCAATCACAGCCTCCGCAGACAAGTTAAGGCTATTAACAAGCTGTCTGATGCTGGTTTGTTCTTCTGGGACTATGGCAACGCTTTCCTCCTGGAGGCCCAGAGAGCTGGTCAGCAATTAAAAACACAAAGTCACTGAGGCCATGCAACAATTATCCATCAGTACACGTCAGACCTTTAGAGAGGCTTCTGTTTCTTTTCTTTTTATAGGAGCAGAAGTAGAAAAGGCCGGCGCAGGGGCAACAGAATTCCGTTACCCCTCTTATGTCCAGCACATCATGGGGTGAGACATGTATTCAAGATAGCATTGCTCATGTAATATAACTGTGTACAATTGTTGTGAGTCCTTTTCTTCTTGCTATAAAGAGTTTGTAATGACTCCCCTCCCACCTTGGCCGTAGGGACATTTTCTCTCTGGGCTTTGGCCCGTTTCGTTGGGTATGCACATCCGGCAATCCCCAAGATCTTGCTGAAACGGATGATATCGCTGCTAATGTCCTGGAGGAAATCAGTTCCAATGTGACTGATAAGATCAGACAGCAGTACAATGATAACATCCGCTGGATCAGAGAGGCTGGAAAACACAAAATGGTGAATAACTTTCAGGGCAACGAATGAATCACTCAATATCAAATCTGATGTCAATAATAAACACAGGATTTCCTCTCTTTATTGTCCTTGTTTAGGTTGTGGGATCTCAAGCCAGAATCCTCTACTCTGACCAGAAAGGAAGAGTCTGCATTGCTTTGGCTATAAACCAGGCCATTGCTGAGGGACGGGTCTCAGTAAGAGGATAAATTGTCTGCAAAGAAAATCTTTTCTGATGTTAACTGCAGTCGGAATGATACCAAGCTCGCATGTTATTTCTGCTGCTCAGGCTCCCGTGGTTATTAGCAGAGATCATCACGATGTTAGTGGCACAGACAGCCCCTTCAGGGAAACCTCTAATGTGTATGATGGATCTGCCTTCTGTGCAGGTATGTTGAAAACCAATGGCTCACGTGTTACCCGCAGGGCAAAAACACAGTGATGTCGGTGATTTGTGTTCAGTTGTATGCATATATATCCACCATTTCTATAATCACCATCATAATCATGTTCGAAAGTCCGAGCTCTCAATCATTTGCCCTTACAGACATGGCCGTCCAGAACTTTGTCGGTGATGCATTCAGGGGCGCCACATGGGTAGCCCTGCATAATGGCGGTGGTGTTGGCTGGTAAGGGAGGCTGGTCATTGAGCAAACAGTAATACGGGTAAAGCTTTTGAATCATAAATACGCTTGCGCCAACAAGTGCTTACAACATTATCTCTTGTCTCACCCACAGGGGCGAGGTAATGAATGGAGGCTTTGGGTTGCTGTTGGACGGCTCGGACGAGGCTGCAAAGCGCGCTAGATTGGTGCTGAACTGGGACGTCTCCAACGGGGTGAGAGTGCTGCGAGGAGAGCAGCACGATAGATCACAGCCTCGCTCATTGTGCACAACGTATAGTGGCTCCCATCTGGTCCTGTGTGCTGCAGGTGGCTCGCCGCTGCTGGTCCGGAAACTCAAACGCCTACAAGACCATCCAGCACACCATGGAGGAGAACGGCCAGTTGCGGGTCACCATGCCTTTCCCTGTGCAGGATGAGTGCGTGCTGGACCGTGCCCTGCAGGGCTAGCCAGATTATCAACAGCCATCTACATGCAGCCTCACAGCAAGGAGGCCTTAAACGATAGTCCTCTCAGTAGTATCCCAGCATCAGCCCTAGTGGAAGTATGAGGCGCAGTGTTGTTATATAGATTGTTTGGCATAAATACACATCCTTTTGCCAGGCTAAATATTCTTGTTATTGTGTGCTGAAAATTAAACTACCAGGGTTTATAAATGATAAAGCCTTTCTGAGTCATTTTTTCCATTAATCTACAAAAATCTGTTGTCCAAAATGTCAATGTCAGCTTAGTTAACGTAGTTATTGCTTATTTTATATTGTCCAAATGTGAAAGTCATATTTTGGTCATGTTGGATCATTTCTTTCTGCTTTCAACCAAACATATTAAATCACGGTGCTAAAAAAAAAGAAGAACGAAGAACGAAGAACGAAGAAAAATAAGTTATTAAGAAACTTGAGACGGATTCACACAGCATTTAGTCTGCTGTTCGCTCAGTTAATAACGTTTGGACAGTTTACTGACTGTGTTATTGAGCATTAATAGCTTTGTGTCTGTTCCGTCTCACTGGTTCCCTCCCGTGCGTCTTTACGCGTGGTTGTTCCTTTAAGAAAAATGCGTTTGAGTCTTTCCGCGCTGACGTCAGGGAATTGGAGAGCTTGGCTGAACCCTGGAGGAAGAACACGCAGATAACCGTGATGAGCACCAGACAGGCACAAAGAACTGTGAAGCTTGTTTTCTTTCTTTCCGTCATTTAGTGTGTTTTGCTATCTCTTCTAATTACATCCAGGTATCTTTGGATCTCTGGACGGTCTCTGTGCCACAAGACCGGTGTTGCTTCAGACCTCCGCCCTTTTTTTTGTGACAAGGAGGTTTTCTAGATTTCACACCTCAGTTGGTAGATGTTCTGTCGGGCAGCACGAAAAGTCCTCTTGACGTACGCGGATGAACTGCGATGACACGGGGAACTTTTTGTCGCAGACACTGATGACATTTTCTCTGCAGCACTGTTGGCTTTAACAAAAAAAATGCATCAAAACCAGGAGGAGCAGTCGGTAAATTCCAGCAGCGCACAGCCGCCAGGACTCCGCGGTGACAGCAGCTTGGGCAGCGGCCCCACGGAGCTCCAGCCGCCGGCTTACTCCAAGCTGGAGTTCAGCAGGCACGCAGTGACAGAAGACTACAAAATCACCGCTCAGGTTCTCGGCCTGGGCATCAATGGCAAAGTCCTGGAATGTTATTGCGAAGAAAACGGGGAGAAAAATGCCCCCAGAAGGGGTGTTTTTTTTTTGTCCCCCCCCCCCCCCCCCCCCCCCTGTGTGAGCGGAGTGGTCGTCTGGAGGCTGCTGTCACTGGAAAGAAAGAGAGCAGCCATCAATTATTCATTGATTTGATCTCCACCATGTTGGAGCGTCTTATGTTGAACATGTGCCCTGAATCTCCTCTTAAAATATGGTTTGACTGATTGATTTTTAAGTTTGTATGATTTGTTGTTGATGCGATGCAGATGAAATATCAACCATGGATGGAAGAACCGACGCGTCTGTCACACAGTGATGTGCTGGGATGCTCTGACACAGTTTCCATTCTGCTCTCTGATTGCTGTGCCGACAGTGATCGGCCCTGTTATTACTCATAATCTGACATCGAAAACATTTTGTTACTCCTTTATGTGACCCCATTAAATGTTTACCGTGATGAAAAGTGCACTCGGTAATATGAATTATGAGGAATTCAGTACGAGTAAGTCAACAAAAATCTAGCTTGAGGGTTCCCAGCAGAGCTGGAAAATACAAACCGGAAGAGCAGCCCCATGTGTGTCTCCCCATGTTTTATTTGGAATCAGTGGGAATGATGTTATGTTCTGTCAGGGGAAAAACTATTATTTTTGGATAGTGGCTTTTGAAAAGTTGAAGCCTCACATCTGAGCCGTTTCCTCCTGCTGTGCTGGAAGAACGGACTCTTTGACAATGCGTTGTATTGTGCATGAGTATTTAGGCCCGGGTCTGCGTGTCTACGACAGTAGGACATCCTCCGGGCTGCGATGCTAGAATGGCAGCACTGTGTAAAGCACTGTGTCCCCACATGCATCATACGTTTCTGTCGTTGTGCGGAGCAGATCCTGTACGATACTCCTAAAGCCAGACGGGAGGTTGAGCTGCACTGGCGAGTGTCCGGAGGTCCCCACATTGTCCGAATACTCAGCCTGTATGAGAACATGCACCAGGGAAAGAAATGTCTCCTCATCGTAATGGCGTGGTGAGCATTCCACATTTATTCTCTGCTTGATTTAGGCCTCTACGGGAAAGCTTGAATGGATTCAATGTGTTTTTCTTTCATTTAGTAGAGACATTCATTTAGAACAAGAAAGTGAAGTCATTAAACTTAAAGCTGCCTTATATGTGAATCATGGAAACTCTTTCCTGGGGTTGTTTGAATTACATCCTCCTTTATGTCCTTTATGCTTAAAAGGTGTGTATTGTGTATCAATTACAAGTACTCCTTTTTCGGTATTTCTGTCCTGTCCATGTACATTACTTTCTGTTGACATCCTACTTTTAAATCTAACATGAGTACATATTTAAACTAAAAACTATAGTGAGACGTGGCCATGCGGAGCTATAGAGTGGTGACACGTTAATAAACCGTCACAGACTGTTTTGTGTGTTGTGGTGCTGTTGTAGTGTGAAAGTGGCTTCAGCGTGTTCACGTCTGCAGTTACACAGCAACGTCCGCACATAGAACACGTTTCAGCGCTAAGATTTGTCATGACTTGACCAAAGAATGTGGAAACATTTTCTGATGCACAGCCTCATGATGACGCACCGGGTCTCCAGTGGCTCTGAAGAAAGGACTCATGGGACAGTAAATTGTGACTCACAATGACAATGTGGTTTGTTGCCAAGAGGCCTCTCGCTGCCCAGTTCCCATGTCTTGGTTAATCTCTTCACAGTATGGAGGGAGGGGAGCTGTTCAGTCGCATTCAGGCCAGAGGGGACCAGGCCTTTACAGAGAGAGGTGCTCGATAAGCCGCTTTAACGTACCGGTCTCTACGCTTTGTCCTTTCTGTGCTACATCTGTGCCATGTCTGTCCATCAGAGGCGTCGGAGATCATGCATGACATCGGCACGGCCATCGAGTACCTCCACCTCATGGACATCGCTCACAGGGACGTGAAGGTGCTGCCGCTTCTGCTGCTGTAGTTCCAACCTAAACACGTTGTTTTGGAGTTCTAATTGTTTTCTCGTTCCGTGTGCACCACAGCCTGAAAATCTGCTCTACACCACCAAGGAGAGCAACGCCGCGCTGACGCTGACGGACTTTGGCTTCGCAAAGGAGACGACTCTGCAAAACTCCCTTCAAACTCCCTGTTACACTCCGTATTATGTTGGTAAGTGTTTACTGTCAAGCTGTCAAGTAAGACATTGAAGGAAATCTGCTGCATTTGTGTTAAAAATGATAGTGAAAGCATTTTTGTAAGTCACTGACTTCCATCTTGTCCACTCGTGTCTTCATATTCACCGGCTTTTGTGTGAATGTGCCTTTCGTTCTCCACGACATTGCATTGTTTTTTTCTGTGTCTGTTCGTCCATTCAGCCCCAGAAGTGCTTGGGCCAGAGAAATATGACAAATCATGTGACATGTGGTCTCTGGGCGTCATCATGTACATTCTGTGAGTATCATGTGCGTTTGCAACGGATTCAACTTAATTAAAAACACACCACCGTTTCAGTACATTGTGTATTAAGGTTCAACTCTGCAGTTCGGTCAAAGAACACAGAAAAATAAAAGAGCCTCTTTTTCTGTTTTTAGATTGTGTGGATTCCCTCCGTTCTACTCAAACACAGGTCAGGCCATATCTCCTGGCATGAAGCAGAGAATCAGGTTGGGCCAATATAAATTCCCCAACCCCGAGTGGGCTGAGGTGTCGGAGGAAGGTGAGACTTTGTTCTAAAATATCCTAAATGTCAAGGAAATGTTATGAAAGCTGTAATGGAGTTCTTACTTTGTAGACAACCAGTATAGTCAGGAGTCAGGAGTGAACGTGGCATACAATAAAACATATGAAGCATTTTTTGAAGAGATTTGGCTTTAATCACCCCAAAATGTCTTAATCAATATTTCATGTAAATTTACTGATATCTTTATTAAGATTTATTTTGCAATATTACCGCCATGTCTATAAGAATTTAAAAGACTAATATATCAGTGTTTGGCTTACAGCTTGTTAAGCCTCCCACTGCCAAAATGATCCATTTGAATGTAATAGACTTCACATATCAGAGAATTCCTGAACAACTTGGACGACATCTCCAGTAAACACAAAGGACACAACATCATTAAAGCTCCATATTGCACCAAAGACGTATTGAGTTAAATGCTTGGTATTTTTAAACTGTGTTTTGTAGCAAAACAGCTCATCATTCAGTTACTGAAGACGGACCCCAATGAGAGGATGACCATCGGCCAGTTCATGAGCCATCCCTGGATAAGTGTAAATTATCCCTTTGTCACTTCATCTAAAGACCTGCATGTTTTATTCAACAGATTGTAATGTTATTTTTTTTTTACCGCAGCAATCGATGGTGGTCCCTCCAACCCCCCTCCACACCTCTCGTGTTTTGACAGAGGACAAGGAGCTGTGGGAAGATGTGAAGGTGGGACACATAGTTTACATCCGTTGAATCACAGAATACAACCACAAGGTGTCAGTCAAGCAGCGGACTTACAGCACAAAATGTCTCCCAACAGGAGGAAATGACCAGCGCTCTGGCAACGATGCGCGTCGACTACGACCAGGTCAAGATCAAGGACCTGGACACGTCCAACAACCCTCTGCTCAACAAGAGACGCAAGAGGCCGGGGCCTGGAGGAGCTGACCGAGCAGGAGAGGATGCAGGAGTAGAGGAGGTGTATAACAGCCTCTGAGAAGTCACGGCAGTAGTACAGCCGTTGTCCCAACAACATATCACTGATTGTATTTGATGTACTTTTACTCCTTCTTTGTATCACTGCCCTCAATAGTCTAATTAATGTTGTTTGTATTTGTTGTTACCACTCTTAAGATTGAGAATAAAATGCCTTTTTTAGAGTTTCAACTTCATGTTGTGTCACTTGTGTACAGGAAACTATAAATGACACCGTTTATTTAATACAAAGAGATCTAGAATCTCTTAATAGAGATTATGGGTTATTATTATTGCTGCCTATGGAGTACATGGAATGCAGAGATTGTTTTTTGTTTAGCTGTAAACAAAGAAAGACTGAATTTGGATGTTGGATGTTGGTAAGATTACATTCAATTTAGTTTCATGGGTATTATAACATGCATTCAAGGAACATTCTACCTTGAAGTGGTGAGGGTGATATAATAATCCCCTGTGATCCATCAACGTTGCCAGACATTTCCACACACTCAAAGCGTCTTCCTGTGAGAGCCTCTATTAAACAATTAATACTCCCTTGTTGACTTTTCAGCTACAAGATAAATGTTCACTTTTCTGTTGAGTAAACTGAGGAAAAAAGAATCATAGTAGCTTAAGAGAGAAGGACCTATGGAATAGCAGACCCAACACCCACGGTTTACCCTACCCAACACCCTACATCTAGTGTGCACATTTTTTATGTGAACGCTTCAAGCAACAGTCTCACAGTTCAAGCCTTACTTAAGTAAAACAAACCATCGACACATTACAATTAAAGGTTTAAAAAAGAAAACTGTTTATTAAGCAGAAGAGTGTCTCTTATCAGTGTAGCATGTTATACTGTATAATTCACCTTAATATATTAATATTAATATACAGTATATATATAATCTTCATTTTTTATTTTGGATGTTCTATTACATTTTATTATATTTTATTTACTTAATATTACCCTCTGGGAGTGGGTTGCATAAAATACAATACAATGTACAATGTAAATGTATGCTATTTTTTATGGTGTTTTTATTTTTTCATTATTATGTGGCTCATGTTTCAGAGTTGCATGCTGGGACATAACAGTGATGAGTGAAGTATACGCTGTGGGATTAAAACGTACCATTTGGAATACAAACAGTGCATTCACAACACGCAGCTATTTAAATACATTTGCATGATGACCAGCTGCGAGGGAAATACTACTAATCAAACCGGTTATATTATAATAACAGGTTTATACATATATGTTCAGGACTGAATGGACCGGCTTCAGGAATAAATAAAGAACAAGGTAGTGACGGTGTTGGGCAGTAGAAGGTGAAAACACGGGTCTTGTGATGGCGTCTGGTTCGCTTCCTGGATGTAATATAATCGGCGATCTACTGACTACCCATGAGAAAAGTGTCCTCTTCACTCTGCTCAAACCTCAGTGTAAGGTCAGTTCATTACTGTCACTAAATGAATATCCTTAAAAAATGTACCTTTGGGCTTTTCTGTATTTTAATTTTGATCAGTGTTTGGCCAAATGAAGTCTGTCTGAGACGGTTATACTTATTGCCTTACTTAACAATTTGAAATACGAAGGAAACGTAATAACATTTGTTTAAACAAAAAGTGATAGTGTGTTGTGAAGGTAAACTATTTGAAATAGTAGTAAAGATGGTGTTGCGTCCCTACGTGTTATCAGGTGCATTTAAGAAGACGAAGCTTGTTGGATGAATGAGCTTTTCTATCAGGGCTGTTTAGTATACATTGATGATGATGAAGACGAGGACGATGATGATGAGGAGGAGGAGGATGATGCTGATGAGTTGTCCCTGGCCCCATGGGGATGGTAGGACCTGAATCAGGGGACCTAGCTAATGTCAGGGCTTTAATATAATTGGAAGTTAAATAGAACATTTCCCACCATCATCAGCCTCCAAAAAAGAGGTCACAAGCTCTCTGAGGAGCTCTCTAACACAGAAACTAGACTAAAATGTCTCAAAGGTTACTCTGAGTGAAAAAGGAACAACTTATTATACATTAAGAAAGCAGTTTGGTGGATTGTGCCAACTCTCTAAAATACAGTTTGAATTTTAAAGCAAATAGAGGAGAGACACAAACACTGACTAAACCATATGCCGAATCAAGTATTCATGGCAGAGAAGCCCCTTCAGGCTGGATGAAGTGGTCAGAAGTGAATGACTGCTGGTGTATTTCAGCTGATCAAAACCACGGTAGCCCAGGTACTTTTGGCCAAAGAGTCCCAGGGTGAAACTCCAGCCTGGAGTTATTTGGGTTGTGGCGTTCTGTGTCTCATCGAGGAAAATGCCATTCACACCCACTTCCTGCGTCTCTACTGTGTCAAGGTAAGCGGAATGGCACAACTGGTTAGAGATGCTCCACCTGCTCCACTGACTCGTTTCCTCAGTGACGTGACATGCTGGCTTCATTAGGTGTGGACGTGCAGTTATGTGCTATAGTTTACTTTCATTTGAACTTTCCTTTAGTCACAGTTCTCTTGCTTAGTGCATGTACTTTTTATTATGTAACTACTATGATAGCTATTTTTAACATCTTTCCTTTTGTACCCTCCATGTAAACAGCGTGCCAAGTTACTGTGGGAGCAGGAGCTGTATGTCCCATTCAAGTACATTGCAACTCGCACATTCTTCCATACGTTCCCTGCAGATGTAAGCAATCCTGTTTTAAGGTATCGCCGTCTGCAACTTGCTCATCTGAGAATCAGCAGGAGTGTTTTAAGGTGGATTTACTGTGTTGCCATAGAGCCACCAGGTAGGCCTCAACTTTGCAAATGAGACCGAGGCAAAGGAATTTCATCTGGTAGTGAAAAATGTCCAAAAATACCAAGGTTAGAACTATTGACTCATACATATTTCACAGGTGTGTTTGCTCTGTTCTGTTATGGCTTTTGTTTCCTCAAATTCTACAACTCCTCCTTCACAGAAATGACGTCGGTGATGAGGGGAATAACAAACTCTGTGAACGAAAACAAGTCAACAAGTGGTCCTCCTGTTTCAGGGTGACAAAAATGTCAACAACTCCAGTATCACAATCGAAGAGAGAGCAGAAGTGAAGGGTGATGGTTTACCTTTCTCCCGTAGAATTAAGCTACCGGACCATTTGGACAGAGGGCAACACTTCCCTTCTTCACCATCCACAACAACTGCACCAACCACCGGTTCAGTAAGTCAAATTGTGCAGTGAAATGCTAACAGCTTGGATGAGCAGAATCACACAACATGACGCCCTCAAAGTTGAATTAGTCTGTGTGGAAAAAAACATTCTAAATCAGCCCATTGTCATATCTGCTTGGAGAAGTTTATGGATCCGGACGCTACTTTGAAGAGGCTGATTCCACCCAGATTCACTGAGAACGGCCCGAATGACAAAGACGTCCCTGACGCTGGCAGACTAAAGGATGTGCACAGGGAGCTTAGGAACAGAGGTGCTGTATTTTGAAAAGTGCCATGCAGCGTATTCTCCTTGTATTTTTTTATGCTTCAAAAGAAAACACAAAAAGTATTGCTGGATATTTTGAGGAAGTACTTTTGCATCTTCGACAGGCCAATTATCTCCGGCATTGCCGAGAACTGCAACGGCATCTGTTTCCCTCGCTCTGAAGAAAGGACCTTTGCCACCGGTGCCTTCCAGGAACGACCGGCCCACGTCCCAGCAGACTCCACAGTACTCAGACCCACTGAGTCATGGTCCTCCTCGGGTTCCTCCTCCTCCACCTCCTCCTCCTCCTCCTCCTCCTCCACCTCCTCAAGCTCCCCTGGAGAGGATCCAAAGGAGTGCGAGTTTCCAACCTGTAATAGGACCAGGATACTTGCCGTCACAGCTCTGTACATTTGAATATGTAAAATGTGTGGTCGGAATGAACTTAACTTGTGTTTGCAATTTCAGGTGGGCTCATCAACAGCTGCAGAAAAAGGTGAACGTATTCTGACTGCAATGAGAGAAGTATTCAGACAAAAGCAGCTGCTCCAGTTGGGTACAGATGGGAATGATATGAAGCTGGAACAGTGATGGGCACCTTTAAAGAAACATTGATTTCAAGTGTGCTATGTACAATGCACTTATGATGAGCCTTATTTAAAATATGAGTGATACAGATGCTGGTTTTTGTAACTGTCTTCTACAATAGGCTACGATGGATTAACCTGCTATGTTGTTATATAAAATATATGTGATAAACCCAACCTTTGCCAGGTTTTTTGTGCCACTTACTCAATTCATCTCAGTACGACAATACATATAGAATCACACTGAGATCAAAAGAGTGAGCTGCATAAAAAGTCTCAGTTCAGTTCTATGCAGCTGGCCTATAGGCCAACACATACACACATTAAAGTAAAATAAACATAAAATAATGTGAATCAAAAAGATAAAAGTAAGACTAGAAGATGAAAAAACACACATGGTTAGTTATAGTTATAATTAGTAAAAAAAGAAAAATAAATCAAATAAATAACGATATTCAGAAATATCTAAACATTAAAGCAGAATGTTTAAATATTTTACTTTGATGCCGATGACACATTAAAAAAAGAAGTATTTTTAACTGTGAGTTAAAGATCACTTGAAGCCAGTGATGAAAATGGTAGAGGATTAATACAGCATGCTCATTGGTTCCTTAATTAATCAAACAAATACAACATAAACATAAATGGTAAAAATAAATAAATAATTTATATTTAAATAAGCAGTTTAGTCATTTAAGAATCTGCACAATGTGTCAACGATATGAGACAAACTGAGATCATAACTACATTTTTACACATTTTACGAGACAGGACATAAAGCGAGTGATTGACTGCAGGACTAATCTTGGTTGCTATCGTGCAAACGTGGTCCAAATTATTTTTTTACAATAAAGGAAATTACCAAAATCCAACGCGGAACTCTTGTTGTCATCGGATGCAATTTTGTTTTGCACTGATATGTATGTTACTAAAAATGGTACACGTGGGTAGAAGTAACGATGCAGTTACAAGAGCACAGCAGACAATAACAAGCGGACGTGCTTGCGCGCGTGCCCACGGACGCGACGGTGAGCGCGTGCCCGTCACAGCGCTCACCCGCTTCATTCATTGCTGTCCGGGCTGCTGCAGGGACTCGCGCTGCACATCACGCCGGCCAGAGACCTTTAAACCGGGACCATGAGGGGGGGCTGCCGGCCGAGACACACTCGGGACAGGGCAGGTAGGGTGCAAACTCCTCCTGAGCTCTCACTTTTCTCCGTTTTCTTACCTATGCGTATTTATGTGTATGTACGGGGGGGGAGAGCGCTCCGCAGCCGCTGGACGAGCGAGCGGAGGAAGTAAACAAGTCTCGTGTCACGTAGGCACGTTTCGGAGCTTCACGCGGGGGGAGACGCTGGATTTCAGCTCTCACGTAGCGAGGAAATCGTTGGCCAGCGGCCCGGATGCTGCGGCCTCTCCGCTGGTTAGGTGGCTCGTGGGCTGCCTGCTGGACGCGCCGTGGCCGAGACGATGTAAACACCACTTTGTCTCCAAACCTCACTCCTGGGTTACAGTGTAACGCCGTGCGGAAAGAGAACCCACGCGGGAGGAGAGGTTCTGTTGGGGCTCGAGAATGTTCTAGAAATGCCCCGAGTGTGTTGTTGTTTTGGTGCAGCTCACACCTTGTGCTGTGTGGAAGGACGAGAGGGTGAAACTTCTGTTCAGATGGTCCCTCGTGTTTACAAAGGATATTTTTAGTGCTGTTGATTTCTTTGTAGCCACTGAACGATTGCTTTTAATAGCATTGAGGGCAGTGAATGGGACATGATGTGGTGTTTATCGGGGTCTCTTGGGTGCTCGCTCGAGGCAAATGAACCTTAATGTTCCAAACATTTCAGCCTCGTCTGTCTTTGCATGCTGTCTTCCCAGGCCACTGTACTTTGTTTCTTTATCATGGTTCCTCCAAGACTGCCTCACTTACTACGTGAGGGTTACGAGCACACAAATGGCTTCTAAACCAATGCTAATACAATAACCCATGTAATCCGGTGACTCTGTCATTATAAGAACATGTTATCATGAAGCCATATTTGTCATGGCCTTTTTAACATCGTCTCACTGTGCTGTTTTGTAGATAAAGGTCCTGCAGAGAGGACAAACTACCAGGTCTGTGATCATTGCTTGATTGCATGCTCACATGGAGGTGGTCTCGGTGGTTTGGATGTTGTGTGTACTGATCTCAGGCTTGGTCGGTGAGTTGTCTGTCTGCCTACACACAGAGAGGTGGGGCTTAGCAGAAAAACAAGAAAAACACGCTAGTGTGCGCGTGTATTTGTGGATGCTGATCTGGTCATTTTATGGATAAACACAGACACTACATTGTATTTGAGCCGTGCAGTATGTGAAGAACAGCTGAAGTGCGTACAGTTGGTTGCCCCTGCTCTTAACAGTGATGGGAAGGTAAAAATACACTGTCCTTGGGTTAGCATTGCCTCCGGAATGCCCACAGAGGCTTTATGTGTTTATCTCTGCAGACGGCAGGCCCAACATCCTTACGTGCGCTTCCCGATGGCCGTACACCGCCCACAATACCCCCCCCCCCCCATGCATCAGATGCTGCCAGCACCAGTGAAGCTACCTTCTTCCACCCTCTATTTTTATTCTCTCTTACATCCAGTAATGCTTTTTTCTCCCTGTTTTGATTTTTGCCCCGATCCCTTCTCTGAATAGCCACAAAAAATCCCTCCCTCTCACCCTTGTTTATCGTATTGCTGGCTCTCTCCCTGCAGCTCCCTCCCTCCCTCCCTGCCTGTCTCTGCTCCCTATCTGGAGAGAAAGTTCACCCGCTCACTCAGAATCTCATTATAGGCTTCAGGCAAAGCTGCTGTGGCCTACGTGCGTGTAGTCCCTATGCAGTTATTTCACACTTGCTTGGCGCACTGATCGTACCGATGTTTTGCATTCGGGAGCATTCGAGGGCAGGATTGTTTGTGTTATTTCTGTATGTTTGTGCTTGCAAATTCGGCGACATTTCTGTATAATGGAGACGTTTAGGGAGACGTTCCGGCTCGTGTGTAACGGCCTCCCTCAGACACTGACGGGTCCTATACACCGATTCTGGATTCTTAGTTGATCAACACAGAATTAATATAAATATATATATATTCTGCAAATTCGCTCTCTCTGGCACACCCCTTTGATCGAAATGTCCTTCTTTTTTAAGACTTTGAGTCAATTTGTTGTCAAATTAGAATTTAAAGGTTAGAATTTAAACACAAATCACAGCTAAATTAATCTGCTGTCTTACTTACGCATGTGTGTGTGTGTGTGCGTGCGTCTGCGTGCGTGTGTTACTACGACTAGCTCTGAAGTGTTGTGCTGATGGGATTAGTCCTTCTGACACTGTGCCCTTTGACCTCTGAATGTGTTTACTGTCTCAGCGGATGCTGAGTTGATAACACACCTGAGAAGTGAGAAACATCTTCGTCTCAACTAGTTTGGCATTTTTTGTTTACATTACAGCGGTCCAAAATAAGGGCTTTTAAAAGTAAGTACACTGCGCCACCCGGTGTTACAACTTTAGTATTACATTAGGTTTCATCGTGTTAAGAACGACCTCTAAGATCTTGTAATTGTTCACATTGTCTAAAAACAAACCTTATATTCTAAGTATTCTACATAATGAATTAAAAGATGCACAAAAGGAAAAACTCAAATCCCACAAAACAACTCTGCATTGAAAACAATACTATTTATTTTAAAATAACATACATTGTGTTCAAATGACAAACACCATCACACGAAATAAAAATTTCCAATAACTAATTCCACAATGATGTGTTCAAGGTACACTTTAAAGAATGTAAAAGTATCCAGTCAACGCCTAATCAAGGATGTTGTTTAGAGTAAAGGAATCTGTTGTGAAAAGATTTTGCAGAATTTTCTACTCAAATAAAGAAACTCAAAGATACTGTTTAAACCAAAACATGTGTTTTTAAAAATAGATTTTTCTTAAAATACTGTTTCAACAAACAAAAAGTCAGTTATGTGAAGTGTGCAACCTACAGAACAAAGTGAAGTAAATAAATGTATTCTGCTTCGGTTCGGCCTCGGCACCTCATCAACATCACAGGCATCGCCTTGCTTGACCACAGCTGTAAATATCATGTACTGTAGGTTCCCTTCACAGCAGAGCACCAAAGTACACTAAGCACTGATACAGTATCACTACGTCATTGTAATACGAGTGAAGCCGTTGAGGTTCTTGTTGTGTTGTCCTGTGTGAGGAGTCGGGATGGACAATGCAGATGTGGGTTTTGCATTCTGAATGTCTGTGTGTCCTGTGAATGTGTGAGGGACATGATGTCCATTGTTGTGTTTGTGTAAGTCATTCCAGATGTTGTTTGCCTCTGTTTTTTTTTCTCTGCCCAACAGACCTTTAGGACTGCTTACGTAGGTGATGTCATGCAGTGTTTTGACTACAACCGCAATCTGAGAGTAAAACATGAAACCTGCTTGTATTTCAGAGGATCTGGTTAACTGTAAATGAGCAATACAACGCAACATTTAACATCGTCATTACTTGGAAATGAAACTTGAGCCAGTTTCCTACTAACAGTCTCTGATAAGTGTTTTGAGAGGTTTCGGTACTGGAATGCTTTTCATGTAGAACTTTGCTGAAGTCTGAATTTTCCCCCAAATTGTCTTCTATTGTTTTGGTTGGACAATGTTAATCCCACATATTTTGGATTGGGGCCACAACGCTGCTGTATAGATACCTCGATAAATTAAAACTAAGGTGTGTCTGCTGTAAATGAACAACAGATCTCGTGGAAGACTTAACTTTACCTTTACTGGATACGTATAATTGTTCATGATCAATTGAACTGCAAAAATGTGCTGAGTCTTTTTTTCTGTGGTTCAATTATATTTACAAACTTACTATGATATTGGTTCGTCAAGGCAAACAATTTGAAGATGTCATTTTTGGCCGTGGGTAGTTGTTATGGGTCACTACTTACAATTGTTAGCTTCAGCCCTAAATTATAATTTTCTTAATTTTCACAATAGACTAATATGCTGTGTGGAAGACGAGTAAATATATAAAAATAATGAGGAGAAGAAGCTGCAAATAGGAAACATGACCAGGTTCGCAGATTGTCGAAAATAATCGAAATAAATGAATATTACATAATGTGGAAGTTGTTGTTGTGTTTTGCCACAAGAATCCTGTACGACACGCGGGACACGTGACTGCGTCGTGCAAAACTTGTGGCCACGAGACTTTTGGTGATGGTGTTTGGGTGATCTCCCAGCCGTCAGCACGCCCTCCCCATCTCCCACCCGCTCCTCCTATTGGCTGCTGGACCGCTTGGCTCGTGTCTGATTGGTTGAGGCCGTGGCTGCATTCAGTGCCCATGTGTGCGGCATGTGAGCAGCTGACGGCTTATTTTTCAATCGTCGGCTCTTACCCCCCCCCCCCCCACCCCCGGTCTCTTGCACACTTTGTGGGTCATTACGGTAACTTTTTAAAAGATGGGTATAGAAGTTAAGCGTTTTACTGGGACGTTCTCTTATGGTAATTTAAGGAATTTGTAGCAGCTACTCACAGAAAGTCCAGTAAAATGTAAAGCTAAACAGACCAAAATATAACAATAACACAGATTATTAAAACAACCATCCCTTCCCCCCCGCGTTGCGCTCATTCTCCAGTCGTTACGGGAATAAGAAACCGCTGTTTCTCTGCTGATATGTGACCCGCCCCCCCGCTCCCCCCACCTGCAGTCTGCTGAATCAGACTACCAGGGGCTACAGCCCTCAGTTCCACCAGAAGCCGGTCCAACCTCCACGATGTTGGACAACGAGGAGTTTATTCTAGACGCGTATCCGCGGGAGCTCACCCAAAACCCGCTGAAGAAGATCTGGATGCCGTGCAGAAACGCGCACATCGCGCACAGGCGGGGTAAGATGCAGAGGATGCGACCGGGAGTCGCTGTGCATCTCTACTTAAAATCATGCGCTATTTGATTCATGGTGTGCGGATGAAGATATTGCGCTCGGTGAAATTTACGCAGGTTTTAGTTGTTGTTTATTTTTAAAACGGCGCGCACAAATAAATAAACTAATATTGTTGCGTTCTGTGTCCTTTGGAGTGTTAGACGAGCGTGTCTGTTTGTGTTTTCTGACGTGACGCACCCAAATGCATCGATTTACCCACGGTACCCCCCCCCCCCCACCCCTGTCATCCAGCAGCGTCTGATGCTGTGAGGCTGAGCAGCTGTGCTTTTGTCCTCCCCCAGTCTGGTTTGCACTCTGCAGGTCGTCTTCCTCCTCTTTGCTGAGTCAACGTCTGTTCTGCTGGTGCTCCTCCTGCATTACACAGGAACAGTGTGTTAGAGCTCCACGAATGGAAATCATTCATTTAGTTGGCAGATGAGTTGATCCTCAAATAATTGTACCAAAGTAAACCACTTTTTTCTCTTGTTTGCCAGAGATGTGCTCATACGTTTAAAAAAAAGTCTGGAATATGAAAAACCTCATTAAGGACACCAATGACTGTAAAACCTTCACCGATCGTTAAAGTGACTAATCAGGATGATGTCCTTTTTAAGATTTTAGTTTTAATCAATCTAAACGTTGTCATTTGGTAAGAAGGTTAAAGCAACAAGGCCAAGATAACAGATGAATGTACATCCTCAACATTCCGAAATATAAACTCAACATTTCAGTGTGTTTTTCAACCTGCCTGTCGTGCAACAGGGTTGTGTCCTTCGTGTGTTCCTCTGGTCAGCTTTAAAGAAGTACTTGAGGGTGGAAAAAGTGCTGTCTACATGCCAATATCCTCCTGGTATTTACATTTGTCCTCCCTTCAAATTGTCTTGCTCCCCTCCAAAGCTTGTATTTGAGCAGTGAAAGTACGTAAATCCAAGATGTTAATCCGATATTTCATGGTTCAGATGATTCCCAGACACTGGTTCAGGACCAGCTGATGGGGCGCAGGAGGGGACTGTGCAGTGTAATTATGAGCAAACTTCAAGAGTAATTCAACTCTTGCTGAACGGAATAATGTTTACAAGCCATGCCCTGCTTATTAAATGTAAGTAGTGAGTTCAATCCATTAAACGTGTGTTTCTCTCTCTCACAGTGTGCATGACAAACTGCCCGACCCTCATTGTCACTGTTGGACTTCCAGCTCGAGGAAAGACTTACATTTCAAAGAAGCTCACTCGCTATTTAAACTGGATTGGTGTGCCAACCAAAGGTATCAAAACATACATATATATACATATTTAAACCAGCCAGTTAAAAAAAATAATATAAATAAATATATATATTGTCACTTCCTGTTCGCTAGTGCACTTTATTTTTTAATTTAATTTTTTTTTTTTAACGTTTATTTTAAACTAACCCACAGCATTTTGTTTTATTTTATTACTCGTGCACTGCTGTCTTGTCGTCTGTTGTCATACTGTCTACTGTCACGCACCAACCGCCAAGTCAAATTCCTTGTATGTCTGACATATTTTGACAATAAATGTTTCCTGATTTCTGATCATTTGTATTTTATTAAATTTTTCACTTGAAACAGAGTTCAATGTTGGCCAGTACCGGAGGGAGTGTCTGAAGATCTACAGGTCATTTGAGTTCTTCCGTCCAGATAATGAAGAAGGTTTGAGAATCAGACGGTAAGTTCGCTCTGATTGGCCGACCGCGAGCAATGGCGGTTCTCTCCACGATCTCGTCATCTAATGGTGGATATTCCTGTCTAGTCTTTGCACGGTACACTGACTCTGTGCCTGCTGCCCCTCCACAGACAGTGTGCGTTGGCAGCACTCAATGATGTCCGTCAGTACCTGAGTGTCGAAGGAGGACAGGTGGCGGTGAGTCCTTGATTTCATCCCTGGTTATAGGCGGGAAATTAACATTTCAAAACTGAACATCAGAGCTGAAAAAGTGTTTTTCACGGCTTTTTCAGGTGTTCGATGCCACAAATACGACAAGAGAAAGGAGAGGAACTATTGTCAAGTTTGCTGAGCAGAATGGCTTCAAGGTGCGTTAACGAAAGCACAGCGTTATTTAAGTGAAGGGCTCACTTTGACCTGATGGTCTCCTAAGTTTACTAGATCACTTTGTCAATGCAGGTGTTTTTTGTGGAGTCTGTGTGTGAGGACCCAGATGTCATTGCACAGAATATCGTGGTAAGCCTTCTCTCTTTTCTATCCAGTACATTAATATCTTTGTCAAAGAGACAAAAACAACACTTCCTTACGCAGGATAGCAGGACATGCTTGTGTTGTAGTCAAAATGCAGGAGCGGTTTACCTTAGAATGTGATCACATGAAGGCTTTTTCATGTAATGGTGCAGCGGACCGAAGAGAACAAACTGGGTCGAAGTGAGAAAGCAGCGTGAGGCTGCCGTCCTCCTCTGTTCTCTGCTGAAATCCTCTCCTTCCGTCTCCACCTTTTGTAGCAAGTGAAGTTGGACAGTCCAGACTACCTCCACTGCAACACAGAGGAGGCCGTTGAGGACTTCATGAAGAGGATCAAGTGTTACGAGTCGTCCTATCAGCCTCTGGACGAGGTCCTGGACAGGTGAGGAAACCTCGGGTGACTTTGATCAGATGGAAACTGAACTCATGGAGATGGCAGGTAGTTGACGGACTGTCTCTCTCCAGGGATCTGTCCTATATAAAGATCATGGACGTGGGCTGCCGCTACCTGGTGAACCGCGTCCTCGACCACATCCAAAGCCGAATTGTCTACTACCTGATGAACATCCACATCACGCCACGCTCCATCTACCTGTGTCGCCACGGGGAGAGCGACCTCAACATCAAGGGGCGGATCGGAGGAGACTCTGGCTTATCGGCCAGAGGAAAAGAGGTACAAACAATAACACACAATGTCAGCAGCAACTACAACACAGACACATGAAGAATAAATAAATATCTAAATAGATCGAATGAAACTATTATTATTATTATGTGTTTTGTTGTATTCTAGTACGCCAAAAGTCTGAGGAAATTCATCCAGGAGCAGAAAATCAACGATCTGAAAGTGTGGACCAGTCAGATGAAGAGGACCATCCAGACAGCCGAGTGCCTGGAGGTGCCCTACGAACAATGGAAGTCCCTCAACGAAATCGACGCTGTACGTTGATCCCCGAATTCATCAAAAATACACAACGAATCTGTTTACTCAAGCTAAGCGCACACTGTCCCCTCTTCTCTTCCAAGGGGGTGTGTGAGGAAATGAGGTACGAGGAGATTCAGGAGCACTTCCCTCTGGAGTTTGCTCTCAGAGACCAAGACAAGTACCGCTACCGCTATCCTAAAGGAGAGGTGAGGACGCGCCGCTCCCTCGTGTCTCCATCCGTCAGGGGTGAATGGGTTTGTCTCCCGCGGACAGTGAGTCTCTGATCGCTCTGTGCTTCTCCTTCAGTCCTACGAGGACCTGGTGCAGCGACTGGAGCCAGTGATCATGGAGTTGGAGAGACAGGAGAACGTTCTGGTGGTTTGTCACCAGGCCGTCATGCGTTGTCTTCTGGCATATTTCCTGGACAAGACTGCAGGTATGAAGGACGTGCAGGCGGCGATGTGAACACAGTTGTGTGTGTGTGTGTGAGCATTTTCTGATTGTTTGCTAATTCATGATGTGCATGATGATACGTTTTTAAACTGGAATTACCACCACGCCTCTCAACCAGTCTCAAATTGTAAGATGCAGGACACGTTGTTCTGCTACATAACTCTCTGTCTCTTCCTCTGCAGATGAGTTGCCTTATCTTAAGTGTCCTTTGCACACAGTATTGAAGTTGACCCCCATGGCTTACGGTGAGTCTAGGCTTGTTTTCATATTTAGTATTGACAATTTCTACTCCACATTAAGCCCAAATGCATCCATATTTTTTGCAGAATAATTTTGACTGAATCAAGAGGATAACGCTCACGTCTAATTTTCTATTCAAAATGAATTTGTTTTTCCCCTTTCTCAGGATGTAAAGTGGAGTCCGTCTGTTTAGGCGTGGACTCTGTGAACACACACAGAGACCGACCGGAGGTAGGTGTCCCAGGCAGCACACAGAAATGTCCGTCAGTGGACGACGTAGACAACTTCAGCCCACCTCAGGGATGATTCACCTCCAGTTAGATACGCTGTGTGACGGTCTTTAATGCTTTAGAGGCGCATTGTACGAGTTCCATCGCATTTAGTGTGTATGTCCCTTCTAACGATGTCCTGCTGATCCGTCCGTCTCTTCCAATTGCACCGAGAATGTAAGAATCATTCACTCCTGCCAGTGACCCCTGACTGCAATCAAGACAGCTGTGACTGTTGACAGTGCTACCTCGGCCTTTATTTGCTTTCTTTGGGGTTTTCTTGTCTATTTTTGTCTAAATTCAGAAATGCTGCAAATTACACAGAACAAAGTGGGGAAAAATCAAACTAAATATTCACTGAATAGAAACAGGTCTTAAAGGCTCAAGGTGACAGTTGCGTATCTGTTCGCTGTCTGCCTCAACGCAACCGGCCTTCTTCCGCCACGTCTTGGTGCACCCATGGGTGTCGACAATAAGACTACGTCCATATTGTATGCACAGTATTGGTTTATTTAGAAAAGCGCTATGTAAAATTAAAGTATTATTATATATGTTTTTACTAGTTCCTGTGCATTTCGTTTGATTTGGCTTCTTCGTAGTGGCTCCATAACTGGAATCCCAAAACGGGGCCGATCACTGCTGTGTTTGTGTGTCCAAATGTGCTGTTATATTTGTTTTGGTTTGTGTTCGAGCTTGAGCTTTAAATTGCTGTTTGAGACTAGAATCAGGTTTGTGTTTGGGTCCAAATCGATGGTGAATTATGGAGGAAAATGACAACAATTACATGCCTTTTTTATGCTTTTTAAAACAGTCTTTAAATACTGTGAATGATTTAGCATTGTTTTGATGTTGTTTTTTGTTACTATTTGTATGCAAGTGACTTACATTTAACCTTAACATACATGTTGATGCATATGACGCAGATTGAAATATATTTTTTATTAACTCCTTGTTAACTCTTGTTTACTGCTTAAATGTTAAGGCTTAATCTACAATGCCACTAAACCTCCATTTCAAGATGTTTGCTGTTCACCATAAAATAATCACTATTATTGTCAAACTGGTATTTGGTTAATTTGCATGTTTTAATCATTTCATCAATTAAATGTTTTAGTTTGTGAAGGTCATTGTAAATATAAAAATGTAAGATTTTAAGACTAATTATCTTACTTTTGATGGTGAATACATAAATGATCAGTTAATTTGTCTCAGACAACAACTTATGTGTTAAACTACTGTCTAAATGTTTTAAATGTTTACTTTGACTTTGTCGTATTTTATTCTTATTATATTATATTGCACCAAGTCAAATTCCTCTATGTGTATCATATGTGGCAATAAATGGCTTGTGATTGTGATTCGGGGGTTTGAGTAGACTTGGTTTCATTAAAGCAGTAAGTAATGTTTGAATTGTGATCTATAATAAAATATTGACTTCTGCTTTTCCTCAACTGTGGTGTAGTGGTTGTCAATGAGGGGGAGAACTTTTAGCTAGATGTGTTCCAATGGCTTTGTCTCATGGGAGGGTTCACTGTAAACCAAAGAAGAGGGGGGGATGTGTGTGTTTATGCATGCATGTACCCTGCACTACACCGCTGCTCCCAGAGGTATTTTAGGTGGTTCTCTGACAATGTAAATCTAAATTTCATACGCAATAGTTCCATTCATATATTCTAGAAACACCGCACGAAAGCAGGAATTGTGACTTAATTATAGTTTTGTTACAGCTATTGATGCCAGGGGAGTATTCTATATGGTGATACAGATTGAAATGAATATGTACATGTGAGATACGTGATGCAGGATTGTAACTTGGTCCTTCTGTCCTCACTGTTTCAGAATGTGAAAGTGCAGCGCTCCACTGAAGACGCTCTGCAGACGGTCCCAGCTCACCTCTGAAATCCTGCACTTCCTGCTTCAGCTGTGACCCTGTCGGACTTTCTGTTCGGACCTCTGAACGATGCTCTCCTACTGCCCGGACTGAAACTGAAATGCACTTTCACTAACTAATCGATTTTTACGTGTTTGTTCTGTAGCTCAACTTCTAGTGAAGGAAGCTAGAGGAAAATGCCAATATTTTTGATAACTGTCTACTTCTATTGTTGCAATAATATTCCCTTCATTTTCAGCACCTTTTCCATGATTATATTTAATATTTTCTGTATATTGTGCACCATGTATACTGCCATATGCTCCCAGTGTTTCTGAAGATTTTACAGCAAGAAAAAGAAAAAGTACCCTAACCTTGAAAAACACTTCAAGAAACTGTAACAATACTTTAAGTTAAGATGCTTTTTCCTTAAATCCACAGTTTCCCTAAAGAAACTCAACGTTTTGATTCTTATAACTGTTTTTCTCTGCTATTTGTCAAATTATAAAGAACGATTCAACAATTGTGATTGTCTCTACTCTGCGTAAACAAAAATAATATAAATCTTAGAAATTACGATAAAATCTATTTGCCACATGGGATGGAAATAGCATTGTAAATGCAAATGATTTGTGTATGTAGCTCATGTTCTGAAATTAGAAATCTTTGGATGTGGTCCTTCCTTTTATTGTCTTCAAACCAAAAAAGAAGTTAGTGTGGACTTTGTGGGGGACTGTTTATAGGACGTACAGTGAAATGTTTTGCAAATCTGCAGTAATAAGTCACTTAATTCGGCGGCATTTGAACGATTTTCTCTTTCAAATGGATGCCTGCCTGATGCTGTGCACACGGTTGTTTCATGTACATTGTGTGTATTTTACTGTATGTCAGTGTTTTGAGAACTGTAGACATACTGTAATGTTATACATTTGATATTGTATATAACTGTTCAGAAAATATAATTACAAATGCCTTGTTTGTCTCAAGCTGTCAATCTGAATAAACCTATGTTTGGGTTTAAGAACTGTTGCATGCTTCATAAAAAGATAAGTAATATAACTAAATCCAGGGTTTACTGCTCCATCAGAGTGCATTTTTATGCAGACTTTGGTCACGTAAATGACCCACTATTCATGGCAACGTGACCTCAAACACAAGGTAACAGGTGGAAACATGGAGAAACAGGATGGCAGACGGGTGTTCTCTCTGTTCAAATTTTATTCTTTATGGAGTTGTCTGAAAAAAAAGTCAATCGACAATTTTAAATCACCTCTTATTTTGTGAGTAAATCAGAGTAAAAAGTTAAAATAAACACAGTTGTCGTGGTAACGTGATATGTTGAAGCAAAGTGCTGTCCTAATTATGTCCACGCCAGTTTCAAGCCCTTGAGATCTCTGACATGCAGCAATCTGCAGGTGACGTCAGTAATTGTCTGAGGATTCAGGTTCCGATGAAGTAACGCGGAACGCTCGAGAGTGAAGTAACACGTGTTAACATTTAATGTTAGCATCATGTCCAAAATGAGTCAATAAAAAGTCGTTTGAAATTAAAATAAAAACAGTCACACTATCATTTACAACATTCTATCAATGGAAGCATAGAACAGGATGTCGAGGATATGAAGCAAGAGAACACGTCAAAAAAGTCAAAATATATTATATGTCATAAAAGGATATCGTATAGTATCTGAGAAAGAACATCATGAAAAAAGTCTTCAGCTGTGAAAATCTCAATACATCTTTAACGTTTGTGGTAGAGAGCAAGTTGCTGTTGATGCTTCATGACGTAAAAAACTCATAGTACAAAGAATGATGCTTTTTATTTATATTCACCTTCAGCAAGTATATTTATTTGAATTATTATTATAGGGTTTTTTCTGTGGACTTTTGTACTGGTACAAGAAACATGCCACCAATTGATTGCCCTCGTTGTTAAAGGTTGGTCATAACAAAACATTGATAAATTAAATTCATTTTCATATAATATATATATTTTAAAAAAATCTTACCCTGTGCTCATGAATATTGATATGAATAGCTGTTTAAAGGTCAGGCTCAGACTTCTAAACGCAGAAATGAACATCTTATGAATATGAATTATGTACAAAATCCATATTTTTGAGCAAAAGGTGTTAAAGTTTAAAGGGTAAAAGCCAATTTGCCAGTACATCTCTACTGCCTCCCTTTTGTTTCTCAACTTCTCATGGTTGATGAGATCTCCTCCTTTCTGCTTTGCGATGTGAAAGCTCCACAGTGATAGCAAAGTTTTTGGAAAAGAAATGTATTCCGTTGTTTTCTCGCTTTCAGAACTGCAAGAGTAAAAGAAAAAACAATAACATATCCCTAAAAACAGCACAATGTATAAATAAATCCAAGCACTTGCATTCAAAACACGGACGCTGAAGTAAAAATAATGCAAAGACTGAACCACTTGTGCATGAGGCTGCATCCCTGCCGGCATTGAAAGACTGAAAAAGTACAACTTACATTTTTGAGGAACTCCTCTGCGACAATACGAGCCCTGGCGTTGACGGACAGCTTCATTTCACTGATCTCCTTGTCAATTTCCTCCATGAAATGAATGACATAGTCAACCAGTTTGTGTTTGTACATCTGCTCCGTGTGAAAGTTGGTGATGAGAAAACTGATGTCGTAGCCCTGCGAAATGAAGATTAAGAAATTACCGCAATAACTTATGCAAAGGTTCCCTTAACATTTTAGGTGAAAAAAATATATATGGTGAAAAAAATATATATGTTCTCACATTTCCTCCTACACGGCTCCGTTGAGCAGTTTTCCATAATTGAATAAGAATGTGTGGGGATTCTGTTAATGTGACACACTTTCAACGTGCACTTACGTCCACAGGTTTCCTCCTCAGGATGAAGAAGTTCTCTGCTCTCATCATCATGAAACGCATGAATTTATGGCACAGAATCTTCTCAATCTCATCTGCCTGCAGCAGAATATTTAAAATTGGTCAGGATTAGAGATATAGTTCTAATCCGTACATCAATCATCTGGAACGCCAAATGCTCAACGACCGACCTGCTTGACAGCGATGCTGACTCTGACAGAGTTGATGGAGCCCTCAATCAGGACTTTCTCCTTGTCATTTCGGCTGATGACCACAGGCTGGAGGAGCAACTCTTTACTACTTCTGGAAGTGAGAGAAACACACACAATCCCCTTCGTTCACACTACTACGAGTCCACTGGCGGCTGAAGCTGGATCGCAGATTTCATGCACTGCTGGCTGTTGTTCACCGCTCCAAAGTCGACTCACCGCACTTCCACCTCTGGCTTGTTGTGTCTCTCCACCACTTGCGAGGAGAAGTTCTCCAGGCAGAGGGCGGCCTGCAAGGTCGCACGAACCGCATTGAGGTATGGGCGCAAAGTAGCCGTCTGAGGAGCAGAGTGAGAAAGTGTATGAGAAACGTCTGGATCTACAGGAAGAAGTACGTTTGCTGCAAACATATTGGAATTCCTGTAAAAAAACAGGCTCAAACACTTCACCTGATCACAGAATAGAGTATCAGGACATTGGCGTTCTCACGGTGGTTCACTTGACCCAACCAGGAACCATCTCAACTCCTCGGTGCACGTGAATTCTACTATCAACGGGGAACACTGATCACGAAGAGGAAATCCTGAGGCTTGGATACTAAGTGATATATTTTACCTACATGTACAATACAAGTTGGCCCAACTTAAAAAAAATATTCTGTCTGTTGTATTTATAAAATGTTATAGCCACTTAAACACGATCAACAATATCAATTAAATGTCATGGCTACCAGTCTCATTTTTACCATGCAGCCAGGTTTAAGAAAATTGGACTCGGATTAATGTGGTAATATGTAACAATATTGTCTGTCCTGGCAGCAGAAGAACGCGTGTGTGCACAGAAGTCTGTGTATGTTTGCATGCTGGTCTGTTCTTTGGTATTTTAAAAGGATCAACTTGTGTGCCGTGTACATGTAGGCTACAGAATGCAGACTATTGATGGACTTGCATATGCAGTTATGTTGCAGCCTTATTCCAAAATTAATTAAATCATTTTATTCCCATAAAATTCTACACTTGAGTGAAAAAAAACTTGATCAAAATTGGTTCAAATTAAAAATAAAGAACGGAAATATAACGTGTTGGAAGAAGGCGGTAAAATAACAAAATGTAGAAAAAGCGAAGCCCGGTTAATCCTGCACTGCGCGTGCGTGTGCACATGCATGTTGTATATTTATTTATGGAAGTGTTGGGTCTACAGACCGACTAGTGTTTTATCTTGTATCCCTCTCGTGTGATGAATGATTTCAGCTCCTTCTCCAAACACAGTTGAAAGGTTGTTTCTGACAGCTGCGGACCCGGTTTGTCACCCGATGTGGGTCCACAATCAGCATCTTTCTACGTGACATGCCGACGTGGTATAATCACACACGTCGTTATAATAATCATGTTCATTGCCATCTGAATAAACAACGGAAAAGGAGAATACATATTCTAATACATCGCATGGGCTTGAAAACAGAGCAGCTAACGCGAGCCTGCTAGCTAACGGTCTGCTAAGCTAACGCCAGCTAGCTGAAAGGAGCCCCGCGGCTTCCTGCTCGGACGGGCCGTAATGCGGACTGGACTTCTTCTCGACACGGTCAGATGTATCAACTGTGTTACGTTACATTGCGTGTAATTAACGTTACTCTTACCATTGCTCTGTGTGAGGAGACGCGGCTGAAGGCGGAAGTAGCTGCACTTGTAGTTCAGTTGTTTTTTTGTTTTTTTTGCGTGAAAATACCGGAACTCAGTTCTGCCTCGGAGGGGTTTTCTGGTGACGAGGTTTTAGACGAGAAACATCGGCATTTCAACGTTTTAAAAATGTAACATTTAATTTAGGTGAATCAGCATTTCATGTTATGAAAAGGTCTTCTTTGATACGCTGACGAAAAAGGCGTAAAAAAAACCCCGGCATTTAGTCCATATTGTGCACTTTTGTTTAGTGCCTTGACGGAAGTCTCTCAAGTAACTCCGATAAAGTCGTGATGGGGAAATTCTGGATTATTAGTAACATCAGACTACGTGATCGCCAAATGTGTGCAGAGAGGAATAATGAAATGAAGGGATTGTCCATATATGCAAGTGGATTCTTTATATTGCAAGAGACAAACAAACATTGAGACACGTAATCGTACATCATTGATATATTCAAGAGTTTTATTATTTGACATCCCAATTTTCCTTGACAACATTGTTGGCATTGCAGTGATTCGTTTCCAATAAAGAGAAGGAGTAATACCAGGGCAAAACGTTGGAACTTTTCTTTAAACGGAAGAGAACTCATCCATTTAAATTTAATCCATCTGCCATTAACCATCTATACACCGGAATGCACAATCCGTTAAAAATATGAAGTACTTAGCCAACCTGAGCTACAAGCAGAGAGAACAGCAATGACAGAGACGGGACAGGAGACGGGTGTATGCGGCGTTGGTGACACGTATTGTAATTCCAAAGCGTTAAAAGATGTCTGAACAACATAAGACATACAGCGGGAATAGTAGCATACAAGTAATGTTACATAAAAGGCAAATATTAATATATCGAGGAATGAATCCATGTTTTAGGGTTGTGACTGCATTATCAGCTTTTACTTAATGTCTACGCATCTGCAGTGTGAAGCAGTTATAAAGCCACTAACACACCAACTGGAAGGGAAAAGGCAGAACGTTGCGATAGTGTTAAACTGATTCTCTGGGAACATGTTTGACAGGGAAAACAAGTGAGGTCGTATCATTTGAAGCTTACCGAAGCGCATGTGTGGCAGACGTTGCCCAAAATCAGTAATCCCTCAATATTATTTTAAAAAGGCAAAAACATAAAAAGAAAGTGCAAAAAAACAGGTTTGTGTTTCAGGCTTGAGAAATAACAACATTATTGTTAATAATGTTGATTATACATATATATATATTAATTAGCTGATCTATTAACTTTAAAAAAAGATCAACGCAATCATGTTTTGACTGATTGGCAATAGAAATAGAAAGCGAAAAGAAAAAGAGAATAAGATACTTGGGATGCTGACGTTAGCCAACATCATCTCACATTACAGAGCTGCAGCCAGTCGATCTAGAGTTTCCAATTGCCCTCTTTGAACATGGCTCCATCTTGCCCCCTCAGTGTGAGAGCAAAGTCAGAGAAACGGGGGGGGCTCACTAGCAAGTCAGGGACTCGGTAGGTCAGAAGGGGTGTCATTCTTCTCTTGTGGGATCTTTGGGCACTGGATTTATCAGCAAGTGTGCGTGTGTATTAATATGTGTACTGTGTGTGTGTGTGTGTAGTAGTAGTACATCCATGTGCAGCGTACTGCGTGAGGGTTTGTGTCGATGGAATAAACAGTGGCGTGACGGAGGAAGACCAGTAGGGAGGTCTTCTCCCTGGGAGCGAGGTGCAGGTGATGTAACCAGTGACAGAGCGTTTCAGACAGCCAAGAGAGAAGATGGTCCAAGTTGTCCCTCAGCAGCTGCAGCTTTCTGCTGAAGGTTTAGCTCTGTCATTCCTATCCAGTTTTATAGGCTCCGGGAATTCATTGTACAACTCCACCTCTGTCTCCTGAAAGGCAGCCAGAGAAAGACCATCACGACGGGGGTAAATGTAACTGACGTGCTCATCAAGGCTGCATTTTAAAATCATTCATGATGATGTGCAAATAACAAAGCACACATTTGTCATCTCAAGCTACTTTAACCCACCTGTTTAAGGGCGTTGCGTGCAATTGTCTGGAATGCCTGTTCTACATTTATGGCTTCTTTGGCGCTGGTCTCAAAGTAGGGGATGTTGTTCTTACTCTGACACCAAGCCTGAGCCCTTTTGGTGGTTACCTGGGTGCACAAAGAGGAGAAGAGATTCAGAAATACAGTGAGCTGGAATGTACAAGGATGAGTTCATGGTTGTGAAAAAAAAAAAAAAAGTCGGAGATGTAAAACCTTGCCGACACGTCAACGCTCTATATGTCTGTGTGACTTCTTAGTTTGCGCGCTCCTCGGATCCATACTTTCTGGATGGATTGTTTTGGACAATTTGTTTGATGGCATCTCTTAAACCCCTCTTCCAGAACTCTGCAACCTTTGCGCCCTCCCACCCCACATACAAAGATGGGTCCATTACATTTTGAGTGCATGAGATGCAGTTTGGCGATATTAAAGCTTTCAGTTCATGCATTGTGCGAGGAGCAACATGTGTTCTGTGAATCCAATCGGCTTGATGGCTAAAGTCCCTGGAAGATAGTTGCATGTTGTGCCACAATAGGTTACAAAATGGACCGCAGCTCTTCGGCCAACGGCCTGCCTTCCACAGCGGCTCAATAGATGAGGGCTGGCAGGAGGCGATGCGACATGTAATATTCTGTTGAGACCCGTCCACCAGGGGAAGTATAGAACCATCTGAAATGTGTGTGTGTGTGTGTGGAGAAATGTTATGTTCCAAAACACGCCAGAAGTGCACATCGTGCAGATTAAAATGTTTATGGATGTCTTGAATGGACGGGAGTGTGTGTAGCCATTTACTACTCCTTTGAGGGAATGAAATTGGTTGCCTACTCGATTCAAGGCTATAAAAGCATTTGGAGTGAAGACTCCAGTGAGGCAAACTATTGAGTTTTTTGGCTAGAGAAGTCAGAAACAATAAGTAGAATTTCACCATTTACAGGCGAAACTCAAAAAATTAGAATATCGTGCAAAAGTTAATTTATTTCAGTAATTCAACTTAAAAGGTGAAACTAATATTTTATATAGACTCATTACATGCAAAGTGAGATATTTAACGCCTTTGTTTGATATTATTTTGATGATTATGGTTGACAGCTTATGAAAATCCCAAATTCAAAATCTCAGAAAATTAGAATATTACACTCAATATCACGAAATCAATAAAAAAAGGATTTTAAATACAGAAATGTCAGCCCTCTGAAAAGTATAATCATGCAAATGTACTCATTACTTGGTTTGGGCCCCTTTTGCATTAATTACTGCCTCAATGCGGCGAGGAATGGATACTATCAGCTTGTGGCTGACCAAGATGCTTTAATAGCGGCCTTCAGCTCTTCTGCATTGTTTGGTCTCATGTCTCTCATCTTTCTCTTGGCAGTGCCCCATAGATTCTCTATGGGGTTCAGGTCAGGCAAGTTTGCTGGCCAATCAAGCACAGTAATACCATGGTCAGTGAACCAGGTTTTGGTACTTTTGGCAGTGTGGGCAAGTCCTGCTGGAAAAGATTTTGAATTTGGGGTTTTCATAAACTGTAAGCCACAATCAGTAAAATGATATCAAATAAAGGCTTGAAATATCTTACTTTGCATGTAATTAGTCTAGTCTATATACTATATTAGTTTCACCTTTTAAGTTGAATTACTGAAATAAATGAACTTTTGCACGATATTCTAGTTTTTCGAGTTTCATCTGTAGATTCTGGGAGCCGTGTAAAGCAGTGGTCCCCAACCACCGGGCCGCGGACCGGTACCGGGCCGCACCACAGAAAGCTTATATATTTTTTTCTTCTGAAAAATGTTTTATTTTGAAAATTGACCTAATTATGTGCGCTCGTCCCGCTGACATATTCCCCACGCGTTTTTCTTGTCCTTTTACCGTGCACGGCAGTTTCGCCGACCAGCGAACAGAGCGCGCAACTACTCCCCCCCCCCCGTCGGTCGTTCCGCCCGCAACGACTACTACACTCCTCCCGTCAGTCGTTCCGCCCGCAACAACTACTACACCCCCCCCCCCGTCGGACCTTCTCGACCGGTCCACGAAATATTGTCTGACATGAAAACAGTCCGTGAGGTAAAAAAGGTTGGGGACCCACTGGTGTAAAGGACCCGCTGTTCCATTTGACTGAAGGTACAGCTAATACTCCTTTTTGTCATTCTGAGAAATAAGATTTTCCCTGTGGTCTCATGGTGAAGGTCAAAAGTTGAATTAAGCTCTGAAATGGGTTCCTGCAAACTCAGCCTATATCGCAAACGGAAATACATTTTTTGTGTATCTGAGAAATTGCATTTATGAAAATCAACCGGATGGAGGAGCGGAACGACGCATTGAAAAAAAAAAAAATCCATAACAAGCTCCCAAGAACAACGAGCGAGCACTTTGCCAAGTTCACCGCTCGCTCACACACTACCAATACGCTGTTATTAAGGCAACCCGGAGAGAGGGTGATACATGGACCTTTACTAACTACATCGGTAGTTGTAAGTTCATGTGCCTTGAACTTTACCAACAAGAATTAATTTGCTGAAGATAAAAAGGGACAGCTGTGTATTCATTAAATAATCAAGTATGTGATCATTAAAAGACTTCCAACATCATGTAGCCGCTGTCGACCAATACCAACCTGTCTGTTCTCCAAGTCAATCTTGTTGCCGAGCACCACGAAGGGGAAGTTCTCCGGATCTCGAGGGCTCGCCTGGATCAGGAACTCATCCCTCCAGCTGTCGAGTGTCTTGAAGGTGTTGGGCGCAGTCACATCAAACACCAGCACACAGCAGTCTGCTCCGCGATAGAATGCTACGCCCAGAGACTGGAACCTCTCCTGGCCAGCCGTGTCCCAGATCTACACCACCACAAGGAGACAAAAAGGTGTGGCAAATGGACGAGATCAAAAAAGCATTTAAAACAAATATTAGAATCTGGGGAGGTAAAGAGAAATACTGATGCATCAGTCTAGTTAAAGGAGAGAACAAATAAAGGGGAATTCTCCAGGATGTAACCTTTGCAGCTGGAACTACTGTACCTGCATTGTAACGAGCCGGTCGTCCACCATCACCTCCTTGGTCAGGAAGTCCGCTCCTATTGTTGCTTTGTACTGGTTACTAAACTTCTTGTTCACATACTGGTTCATTAGGGAGGTCTTTCCCACACTACGAGTGGTAGACAAGACACAGCAAGATGACAGATGTTAGACCAAGGGCAAACATAGGTGAAAAAAGCTGGTACATATTTTGTATGAAATGCTCATTAATTGCAGATTATTAATTAAACCATGTGTTTATGTGGATGTAATTAACAGTGCATTTACAATATGTTATCGTTTCATGCATTTTAAGAGGATCGAATGGCCGTCATCCCAAATAAGTGGAGGTGCAACCATCACAGACAGAGAGATCTGATTGGCCGTGATGGAGCACTGATGTACTATATTCTGGGCTGAGCCCCACACTCATTGTTAACATTGACACAACATTGGTTGAGCCAAACGTCTTAGTACAGGTGCTAACATTTTTGCGCCGTGCGCTTTGGTGCCAAGATAAAACCTTTCAAGCTTTTTGATCAGGAATAAAGATACATTTCTTTTGAGTGCTGTGTAGTCTGAACCAGAAAATGGGGGTTGAAGGGGCCGTAGGGTAAGTTGAATATCTTTAAATATCTTGTAGTGAATTGTAGCTGCAGGGTTGGGATCTAATGTCAAAGATCCCTTCTAGAATCTCAGTTACAGCCATTTCAGAATACTGTGGCTTAATGTTCCGTTTTCATAGCCTGAGTAGCTGCGATAGTGTAAAATTATGCAACTTCCTGGCTTTTAGAAGAGCGCATATTTTAGTCTCCCGGCAATAATTTTGACTTGGCTATTGAGATTTCTTCTAGCCATGAAGAAACAGGAATCAGGTACCTACATCAGAAACATGTCAGACAAAAAGTCAATACAATGTCAGTAAAGCAATAGTTTCTGCAGATAAAAGGTTATAAAGTTTAGGTCTGTTCTGCTCGGGGTTGTACAGCAGAATATCACTTGCTGCTAGAAGGAACTAACACAAATCAGACAAGCCTCCAATTATATGAAACAAAAACAGGAATAGTGCTTTTGCATTTAGTGTTTTTTTTCCACCCAACTATTTTTAGAACAAACCAAACCGACATTTCATATCCTGAATTGCAAATTTTAACATGTAGAGTGTGACGGTGACTCACCCAGAATCTCCGAGGATGATGACTTTCAAAAGCACTTTCTTCCTGGATGTCATTTTTCCGCAGCTGCAAAAAGACAAAATATAAAAGGTTTAGTATTCAGACGATACTAAGCAATGCCGTCCGAGCGCCGCCATTGAGTCAAAACCAATATCCTATTGTTTGGACAATAAAATTTATAAAGTAAAAAGTGTTTCTATGCAGATCGTGTTTCGCCTGTGGACCAGTCGGGTCTGAATACCACACATTCCAGTCATGCGCTTTCTAAGCCGTTCGACAAATCACGAGGAAAACATCATTCTTTCTCTCTTGTGCACTGCAGGAAGTTCCCCTTTAGGCCACCGACTGCTTCCCTGTCCTACAAGGCCAAACCAGGTGGCTCATCCAGCAGTTGTGTGCCAATAACTTATTACTGTGTGTGTTGATCCCCCTATATTCAGATACAATTAAGTGATCAACATTTACATTGCAAATACAACACTATTAGGGGACACTTAATATTTATGTAGTACAAAATGTACTTTTGGTATACCCAAATGGAGCAACAATAAACTTTTGTCTGGTTATTCTGGTCAGTCAGTCACTGAGCTTAAACTGCAGTTCAGGATTAAGCAATCTGAGCTCTCTAATACAATGGTTTGAATAATTTCTTCCCGATGTCGTCTACATTATGAATTATGAATCACAGCCCTCTAGCTGGTGTGATTCACAGAGAAAGTGTCTGAATTGTAGTTGGGCGATGATTCATACAACCACTTTGCAAGAGATATATATATATATATATATATATAATATATAAATAAAATTATATATATATATATATATATATATATATATATAAAATTACTCCTTGATATTCTGTGAAAATAAAATCTTCTGTATCTGATCATATGACATGTGTCTATTATCTAGTGCCTCTTCCTGTTACTCATTTTGACTTCTACTTTAACAGACAAATGATTTATTTTTTCATGTAGTGAAGAACTCATAATACGAATGAACTGTGTGGCAGTTCAATTTAAAAAGACCGTTAAAACAATTGACCGCAGTTGTGTTCCCTCACAAAGTCATCCATCTATGATACATCAGTCAGTCTGAAAAGGTTATCACACCGCAACAGTGATTACATATTTTTGTCACAACTTATGGATAAAACGTGTTTTGCAAGGACACAGTGATCTTGACCTTTTCTGTCCATTTTCTATCAAAAAGAAAAAGTAAATGAATAACCTGCGAGCATGCGGGGGAAACCTTTGCAAGCACAAGAGGAGCCTCTCCTCTCCTCTGAGAAGGGTTTTATCTTTGTTGGTTCCTGCCGGCAGAGACATTCTGACGGGAAAGCACTCACTAAAGTCGTTTACGTGCGTGGCTGTTGGAATTGGACACGCGCGTGTTGAGGTCATTTTTGCCCACGGATTTAGTCATTGATTTGCCTCCACAGCATCTTTGACTGAATGCATGAACTGTCAGTGAGGATGGCATCAGTAGCAGCTGTGATACCATACGGCGTTTCCTCATCTCATACTTACTATCATCTTAACTGTCACTTTGGCCGTAATAATACATGGTAGGTATTTACAGTATATAGAAAAGTATAAAAGCAGATGCATGTTAGTCTGATATTGTTTGCAATTAAAATATCTAACAATCCTGTCCCTGATTTGGGTGAATAAAAACGATTACTTGCATCATTTTTTTGGAAGTGGCGGGATGATAACCGGTTTAACAGAAAACAACCTCCAAACAGCTCTTCACGGAAGTAAACATCTGCCTGCACAAAGCTTCAAAGATGTTTCAGACATGCCAATCTGCCAGCTCACACACCTTTTCTAATCCATGCCCTTAAATGATGACTGATTAGGAAACTAAGCCTGTAAAACCAAAACACTAGAAACACAAGCGCTCCATCGGGAGCTGGAAACGAACAATCGCATACTTTCTGAAAGGAGCGTGCACAGCACTCCAGTGGCCACCAAACCGAAGCACAGAATGTGACCAGCGTGATAGGGACTCGTCGGCTAACAGAAGCATGAACACATCGCTACAGTTCGACATGGCAAAACTCAACGGAGGTCTTTAACCTTTGCCACACAGCAGGACATCAGACATCGATAGCCGAGTTCATGACATCAGCTCAGAGGTTCAAAAATTGGTTGGATGCTTCTTATCTTACTCAACAGTCGGTTATTCTGCACCAACACTCGGAGATTCCAATGATGCAACTCTCGAGACGAGTATTGGGAAAGAAACTGAATACACTTCATTGAAGATAAAAGGAAATACAACTGTGGAGGTATTTATACAATATCTGCAGGTCTGAGGAAATACCTGAAGATACGACCCAAAACAAAATAAAACCAACAATGTAATCCATTTTCCTAAAAGGACTCATGTCTTTGAAATATGCATGGAAATATGTTTGCCATCATTTTCTGTTAAGACATAGTTAAGACAGCAATGTGCTGTCTCACATTGCTTGCAAAAGCTTAAATCATTGTGCCAACATTTTTATTACGTGAGCTTGCAATAATCGTGCAAAAGGTTAGAGATTGATGCAGTCTGCAACAAAATATCTTATTTTGCTTTAGAGAATACTTTTTATTCGATTCACCTCTTTCTGGTAGTATTTCATTTCCTGTCAATTATACAATTATTGCAAATATGAGTTTAATGAATAACTGCCGTGCCCAAAAAATAAACCAAATACGAATAACTGTGACAGAGAGTTGAACAATTGTTTCATTCTTTGCCACAAAAAACTGATAATTCAAATGATTTTTAAAGCCCAAAATTATTTTAGGTACGTCTTATCTATCCGTTGTTCACTGACAAACACACATCTATTTACATTATTTAAAGATGCAATAGGATTACTTTGCCAACATCTGCATGTCTCTAAAAAATTGGCATCACCAATAGTATTAAAAATAAAATGTTATTTTATGGAGACAAATTCCATTGAACACGCAGGTTAATATTAGCCTGTTTGTGGATTGTATGGACGAGCATGAGTCGATAACTCATATGTGTTGTGCTAAAGTCAAGACAGAAATTCTTCCCTCTCTGCCTGTAAATGACTGGCACGAGCAGCTGGAATTCACCGATCACTTGTGACATGTTTAATGCAGGAACGCCCACAAACACACCAAAAATAGATTTAGACTGCTTCAGGTGTTTCTCAATGTTCAAACTCATGTCTACGCATCTTGTCATTGTTATGTTTCCTGGTTGGCTACGCAACACATGAGCCCTGGTTACTGCCCATGTGATCAGCAGATGGTTCAGTGAACAAGGGTCAACTAAAAGATAAAATGCAAACATATCGATGGGATGGAAAACAATAAAGGAATCCATTACAAAGTATAGTGCGATCAAAACAAGGTCATGGTTCAACTAAATACTTTCGAAATTAGTTGTTTACCTTCAGTTACACAGTACAATTTTCACATTCTGTTATTCAGGATCGTATCAAAAAAGAAAAATATATATATGTTTCAATAAAATAAAAACCGCTTTCCCCTCGAGTCTCTGGATAAAGCTACACATTTAAATCCAGTACTCCTTACAGGGGAACAAGCGGGAAGGTTCACTGCGAAACAATTCCAGGCATTTTAAACATAAGAAGCCTGAATAACGATAAAATATGCAGAGGAATATGCTGTTTTAAAGAATCTAACAATTCAGGTAAAGGCATCAGATGAGTAAAGCTCAAATGAAGAAGGGATCCTAACTCAGGATACTACTCCATTATGGTTTGCAGTTGCAAAGTACTGAGATTAATCATTAAAAACGAGCGCACAGAGCAGTCGCAGGTCACAGTCATCATACATCTTTAGGTAATATGTAGAATTTCGAAATGGAAAGCATCATTTTACACGTAATCTCGGCTAGTTTTATAACGTTAGCTCCTAATAAAAGCCGGTTTATGGGCGTTGTAGGGATCATGTACCTGCGTGATCTGCAAAGGATCTACAAAGCAAGCTGACGCAGAGCCCCCCCCCCCCCCGCTGACAAAGTCACGGGATATTTATGCCTGTTGACAGGAGTCAAGTCGATACTCGCAACCATTAAAGACACCTCGACATGACTGATCAACCGCACAGAAAAGTGCTGGTTTCACATCCCGATTCTGCAAACATTTGTCACGTTTAACGTTAGTTTGCGACCTAACGTAACGTTACACCCCGACCGACCCACGTCGTCTCCCCGGTTCTCCTGCCTCGTTTGGAGGCGACCCGGAGGAGCCAAAGCCGGGCCTTGTTTTTGTCAACCGGCTTCTCGTGAAGAAAACATAATTAAACAGCAGTTGGTCGTTAACGTCGGCGTTAAAAGGCCACTGGGTGACATGATGAGAGGTGCGACCTCACGGGTGAAGACAACGCGGCTGGCGTTCCCAGAACTTACCTTGGGCTTGATAACGGGAACCGACCGGGCTGCGAGCGGACTGGCTGTTGTTGTTCAGGTGCTGTTAGCCTTACTGGCTAACTGGGCTAACGAGGCGTTCCGTTAGTTAGCCTGCTAGCTAGCTCGCCGTCACTGAACTCGTTCGCTGGCGTTAATTCGGCAACGCCGCGTCTCAAATTGCAAAGAAAAAACAAAGGTGTTGTCCTCTGCGTGTACACCAACAACAACAACCGTGTCGCGAATTGACGAGACAGGTAATCGACCGCCGGTGGGTAAATGTTGCGCTTGGCTTCAAGGCGTAAGGTCTACCAGCGGGCTAAACATCGGCTACCGTCCAGCGTCTCTCTTCCCCTTTCACTTCCTCCTCCAAAACACCGCCTGCGCGCTGCGTCAGACGCAAACCACTGACGCAGCCCACTTCTGGTTTCAGTATCCAGCGTGGACTCAACTGTCTGCATCGCTGCAAGAGCAAAATGGCCCTTTTGGTGGATGGAGCACGTCCAGGCTCAGTTTAGGGGGGTGCCGTCATTATAGTTATGCATGTATTGCATCGTGGATATCCGGTTTAATCTCACATTTGGATTTAAATGTATCGGTGTTGCAGCTATTAATGAAACAAAAACAGATTAAAAAAAGGAAAAATAGCTCAAGATCACAGCAGCACAGACTGTGATATTAAAACATGGCTCTACAAGTACCAATGCATGATGCACCTGCGTTCTAAATGCCCAGTTTTTTCCAAACCAAACATCCCCAGTTTGAAGCACAGATTTCTTTAAAAGTTTTCTTAAAATGTGCGTTGAACCCAAACTGAGATGACCATCACACTTACACATGTGCACTCTGGCTAATCAGCAATCCACATGAACCCCTCACTCTGAGGAATCCCCACCGAGGTGCTGTAGACCAGGATCAGAAGAGGAAGGAGAGACATGATGGTTCTGTGTGGTTCAGTTAAGGAGGGAGAGATCTGAGGATCCGCCACTAGAGGACAGAATCAGCCTTGAAAGCCTGTGTGTCCACGAGTGTGTTTGATAAACTGTCTTAAAATGCTCGTCTTACTGATATGACGGAGAGGTTATGTCTGTTTTCTGTATACTTTAAAAGTATGACATCATTTGAAATCTATAACAAATGTGTAATATTGATAAGATGAGATCTCATGATAATTGTTGGTACCCATGTTATGATATAAAGATATAAAAGTGGCAAATTGTTTTTTTTCTATCTTGTGGAATATTTATAATGTTCTATAGATTTACTTCATATCTTCATTCATATTTAGGAGACATTTCTAACATCTGACCAGAGACAGCGAGTTACATATTAATAAAGCTGGTATCATTTAAATTTCTCTTTTTTTAATAAACAAATTACAGACAGATAAACCACTATAGAAGTAGTTTTTGGAGTAATTCAGAAATCTTGCGTCCACATCTTATTGTTCATCATTCTCTCCGTGTTGCAATGATCATTTATCCAACAGAATCTTTAAATAATTAAGTACCAAGAGAAGCGTGTGTGAATATGGGAACAAACAACACTAGACTCTTTGTTTTTGTCTTTTTTAACATCTTTATTGAAACACGCAGACTCATCAGAACAACCCTTGCGCATCACAAGGTCATTTTTCCACATCCACCTAACAGAGGACTCATCTGGGCTTTGTCCTTCTCCATGTTCATGTGTAAGCGTGTCTTCATGGATGTGTTTGCGCTCCTTGTTAGAGGGAGTGTGCCTCTGCAGATTCCTGATGACCGCTGTTTATAGAGGAATTCCTGCCTTCTCGCTGCTATTGAATGTGGAGTCTTTATGGCCTCTTTGGACCTCCGTTTGTAAACACAAACACTGCGACACAAAAGGACGCGAGGGAGAAAGTGGTGGACAGCAGGGAAGGAGCCACATACTTGCTGCATTTCTATCTGTGCTGCGTATGCACGCTGTGGGATGAGACCAGGTGAAAGTCTGTTCCGAGTGGGCAATTGATTCATTAGCGGAATAAAAAGTTATTCTTCTTTAGGAACATACAGCATGTGAGGCAGGTGAAGAGCTCATCCACTGCATGGTGTGTGTGTGTGAGAACATGCATCTCTGTGTGTGGCTGTCTGGGAGTCTGAGAGAGGGAGAGAGCATGAGATGAGTTAATGAGATGGACATATTGTGTGTGTGTGTGTGCGCGTGTACGTGTGTGCGTAGCAGGGGGTGGGTGCATTAGTCTGTGTCGGACAGCAAAGAGCGCCGCAGTTATCTAGGAATCTGAGCCAAAGCAACCTCACTAACAGACAGCGAGCAGAAGCAAGAGGAGGACATGGAGTGAGATGAGCTGAGGCACCAAAAAAAGGAAGAAGAAGAGAATGAATGAAGCACAGTTTGTAGAAAAGGGGGCAGTCAAGGTAAACTATAGAAACATTTAAAAGAAAAGGACAAGGTAGCAAACACTTTCCAAGGGGTAGTTGTTGAGAATAAGGAAAGTGAAGGGACATTTTTCAACAACGACAAAAGGACAAACAACTTACAACTCAGGGAAAGAAGGTTTTCCTTCTGGATCAAGACCTCAAGACACAGGTCAAGGCGAGCCGGCATTTCTGCATTTTCCCATGGTTCCACTCGGCCCGCTCAGCCTGCTTCCTCTGCTGTCGCTGTGTGTGGGAGCACTGCTGTCCTCGGATGCGTCTCCGGACTGCACGCAGCCTCCCTGCAGAGACATGCTGGTGGCAGCCCCCATCCAGCCCAGGACCGGAGCAGGAGTGGGTACCGTGGCCTGTGAGGGTCAACCTGGCACAGCAGCCTGCAGGATGGGGGTTTCACTGCCAGCCGTCTCAGAAGTTCCTCGGATGGCGGAGCACAGGCACGAGTTCGCCCAGGTCAAGCCTAAGGTGAGCGACGTCACCTACAGTGCCACCAAACGAGACGTATTATCGGCAATGTTAACATTTTGTTTGAATTAAAGCCACATAATGCAAGTTTTATTGTCAGCCATGTAATGGCGAGAAACATAGATAGACGAGCGGAAGCAGAGACGCTGTCTACTTCTTCAAATGTGTCATGGGGACTGAGCCGCTTACTGTCAGGCAATGGGCAGCGGGACCTTTCCCACAGGGACAGTCAGCAAACTAAACTTGGCACCACCTAACAGAAATGGAGCAGTGAGACTAAGCAATCAAAGAACAGATAAAATTAGATCTGCTTTAAAAATGTCCTCATCATATAGTTATGATGAGCTCATGCAGCAGCAGGTGTCTGACCACAACGCCTGATGTAAGTATAAGGGACAGATAGATGTGACACTAAACCTTCCACTGAGTTCTGCATTCAATTTGTAATGCACAATAGCGCAAAAGCATAACTTCATTTTTGTTATTTAAAATCCCAGCATTATTTCATTCAACAACATCTTCTCCCTCAATCTTCCCTGACAAATAAAGAGAAATCGGCCGTGTTGTGTACAACAATGTCTTCAAATCAAGAATCACCCGTGAGCACTGTCTTGCAGACCGGAGGCGTCAAGGAGCGCCTCGTTCAGCTGCAGCGCTGCATGGGCTCCCTCCAGGACCCCGGCGGCCCCTGGAGTCACGGGGGCCAGGAGAACAACTCCCTGGGAGCCATCCTGGCACTGATGGCAGCGGTGCTGACAGAGTGTGACCTCCACTGCCACAGCCAGGCCCTCGGTGCGATGGCCAAGAGACTCGGTGAGCTGTACACGTTTATATCCTCCATCGATAGAACACACACACACACACACACACAAAGAAATGCCAGCACTGTCACTCCCCCACTTCTAGTAAACACAACCTCAATGAGCCCTGCTAAGTGTCGGTCATAGGTGAGTGCATAGGAATTTAACTGCCCTACTAAGGATGAGAGAACTTAATTTACAAGCACACACACAAACACACATGCTGGAGACTCACAATGTGAGGGAGATTCTTCACACAAACTCTGTGTAGGACATAAGGCGATGCTTTCATCTCAACCCTCGTGTCTCACACAAGCCAATCTCTCTCTGCGTTGACAGAAAGTGCCGCCGTAGGAAGAGAGGGGGAGAGGGACCTGTTGCTTTTCCTGAAGAGTATCACACAACATGCACCCACAGGTGAGGCCATCTCGATTGACCACATGAAAATGATTGTTGCTCATCCAGTTGAGTAAAAATGTACTGTGTGTTGGTCTCAGTTTCCCCCGTGGAGAAGTTACATCCTCAGGACTGTGCAGAGATTTACAGACTCGGGATCAAAGAGAACGGGATCTACACCATCCAGCCGGACCTGAACAGGCCGGCATTGGAGGTATTTCGGATTCACCACACTCGTAAAACACAAAGCGGGACGCTCAACCTGTTCCTCTTCTTTTAAAGATGTGCGTGCTATATGTGGATCACTAAAACCCAGGCTTTACAATATCAATGTCTTTGTTCTGGCTCAGGCTAAATGTGACATGGAGACGGCGGGCGGCGGGTGGACGGTGATCCAGAATCGGCGGGACGGCTCAGTGGACTTCAACAGGACGTGGCAGGAATACCGTGAGGGCTTTGGAAGTCCACAGGGAGAGCACTGGCTGGGCAACGCGGCGCTGCACGCCCTCACCTCCGCCGGCCAACACCAACTCCGCATCGAGCTGGAGGACTGGCACCAGCAGAAACGTCACGCCACCTACAACAACTTCAGAGTGGCCTCAGAGGCTCAGAGGTGGGACACGCTGCGGAGGCAGATGGGTGCAGTTCAGTTTCTCAATCTCACCCACAGCAATGAGTTGTGGTATTTTACCAGCACGGCCAGTGCATGGCTTGTTGTGTGTGTGCGTCTTTTTAATGTGTATCCTACTTCCCCAGTGCACACATGAGGACTTGAATGTTACGTACAACCTCATTTGCTGTGTGTCTTTCTTCCAGGTACCGTCTCACAGCACGGGAGTACTCTGGTGATGCAGGCAATGCGTTGAGCTACAGCAAACGTTACAACCACGACAGCAGATCCTTCAGCACGGCCGACCGGGACCAGGACCGCTATGCAGCTGGGAACTGCGGCCAGTACTACGGTGCGGGCTGGTGGTTCGACGCCTGCCTGGCAGCGAACCTGAATGGACGGTATTACCGTGGGCGCTACAGCGGCGTGACCAACGGGATCTATTGGGGGACATGGTACATCCTGACAGATGGACGAACTGGAGAACGCTACTCCTTCAAGAGGGTGGAGATAAAGACCAGACCCAAAAACATAGTGGGAACATCCTGAGTAATGGCAACGATTCTCATTGATTAATCAATCAAGTCACTGTGTTCACAGAGCAGCTTTCATGTCACTTATCGGTGACATGCAGATGGCAACTAATAGATGAAAGAAAATATACAAAAGATATTGTCATTCACTAGCAGAATATTTGAAGATACACAATATTCTTTTGTTTATTGAGTGGCTTCTCTTTTGCAAAAACACATTTATTGTTTCTCCTTTGCATTAATATGAAGAAATAGAAAGTATTGCATGCAAAAGTGTTATTGTAATAAATTTCAAGAATCTTTATTGCCTATTAAAATAAATATTCTGTCGCGGTGTGGTTAATCAGTAGTCTGCCTAGTTAAGGCTGTGTCCACAACTAACTGTTGTTACCACGTAACAGGTGACAGGTGACAACTTCACACACAACATTATTAGAACAGAAACTGCTCATAAAAGAATGTGTGTGCCCCTACCGGCCTAAGCTCCATGATCCATCAAAATAGGCTACTGTCTGCAACAGCTCACATGTGTTTTAGGTCAGATGATGCCATGAGAGAAAATGTCTCACTCTATGAGGCAAAGAAGTCCCTGTGACCCTGCAGGGGGCTCCAACAGATTTTCCAACGCAAACCTCAACACCGTGTTGTCCATGCAGCAGAGAGTTGATAGGATTCGTAAACCTGTCTCTACTCACAGACCTCTGTTCTGCCTCCAACTGCATTAACAGAGAGCCAACCCAGAAGCTCTTTGGTTTGACACTAGACAGAGAGAAGCCCAGTTTGGAAGCGGCCATTTCTCTCACCTTGCTTTGCTCATTCCTTCCCCTCGTCTAAGCCTGATACACCAACGCTGGCCGTCAGGAGCCTTTCTTTGTCTTCATACCACAAAACTGTCCTGCACCCACCTCTATAAACGCAAACACACACACAGAGCACATACTCTGCTTCCTTCACCTGCTGGGCGGTCTCTCTGGCTGTGCTTCACAAAGGCTTTTCTGGGTGACTTTGGCCATGCGTGTGCGATGCTTGAGTCATTATGTGGACACAGAGACACAAGCATTGAGGTGGTGTTGGGTCGGTCGGTGAGTGTGTGGATGGCTGCACCTATTTTAGCGTCGCTCCCGGTGAGCTGTCACTCTGTCCGACAAGCAGGGGTGTCTAATATTAACCAGAGAGGGGGCTCAGAGGGCTCTGATGGGAACACACAGACTCCAGGCCAGCCATGGTATTTCACACACACTACTTATACAGACACTAACACACTAGTATTATATTATGTGTGCGCATGCATACCCACACAGACTGGGCACGCACACACACACACACACACACACACACACTCTGACTGGTCTGAGCAGATAAGATGGTGTGTGATGTGTTTGACTTTATTAGAACAAGTGCACATTAGATATAAAATGGCCTCCAATGAGGACGGTTTGATCATGCCGCTTAATTATTGTTATGCAGCCACAAGCTCCTTAATGCTTTCTCTTTGTCTTACACGTATACTTGCACGCAAAAGCAAACACACAGACAGGAGACAGTTTATCATCAAGACCGATCATCCATACAAGCAATTATACATATCAGCTTTCTCATTTCGTTTTGTGTGTGTGTGTGTGTGTCTGTGTGCGCGTGTGAGGGTGCGTGCTTGCAATGTAATACTAAAGATGATGGGTTGCAAGGTGAAAAGCTCCATGTTGTGCCCCCTGGTGGCTCCTGGTCATACTGGAGTCAGAGAAAATCTTTATTTTAATTGAAGATTACTGGTGTCATCTTCATTGGGTCAAATCACAATGAACACATTCAAGTAGATTAAAATAAAGTTGCATTCTTTGTAAAATACTCATCCTGATCAATCTCTCAAATGTAGCATAGCCTAGAAAAATAAGTGCACTACTGATGGGAAAATGAATCACTTCAAAAGTTCAACCTCCTTGTCGTGTTTTACTCATCATCACATTACTTCTTTTCATCATACTCCTTCATTATGTCCTTCACTCTCAACTCATCGCCTGTAGAATCCAATAGATAAATACATACGTGTCATTCTTACTCTGGGCTGCAGTCACTTTATAGATGAATGTGTCTTCTTGCTTTCTCCTCTCCTCTCTGCATCCATCAGTCTTGTTGACAAGGGAGGAACAGAGGCCCAGGGTTGTGTCACCACAGTATCCTGGCACCGTGTCTGGAGTGGGGTGATAGTGGTGCTGCTGCAGGGTGAAAGGGGTACAGGCAGGCTCTGCTGCCCCAGGGCCGGAAGCCCAGCCTGGGCAGCGGTTAGCCAGCACATCCCTCTGAGAAACTTTGCGCTCCTTTTTACAGAAGTTCCCCTGAGCCCCGTGTGATTCGTTACAGCACGCCACAAGAAGACATCAGATTAAAAACATGCGTCCAACGGATCTTTTGACGCCGTTAGAAGATCCGTTAGACGTTGGCCATCATTGTTTGCCATCAGAGTGTGCACAGAGCACTCTCTACGCTTATGGGGGCAGACACAAGATGTCTTATCTGCTGCATACCCTGCGTATTTGACGCACTGGCTGATCAGCATGCTCAAGATGGTCTTACTATCTTTAGAGACGATGATCAAAAGCCAAATCTTCAAATAGCCAATGCTAAACTTAATTTTTTTTAAATCTCATCGTTTATTTCCTTCAATCCAGTGTGGCTGATCATCTGGTAAACAGCCTCACTCTGTGTAAATATGGACAACAAATGTGAAGGCTTGGTCTGACTTCAGTATGCACTTCAAGTCTCAGTCCTTCAGATTTATTTCAGTTACAGAGGACCTGCATGGATCAAAAGTGTGGCTGGTGTATTTCATAAAGAGCGTGAACATGTCCAGCTTTAACCGATAAACAGTGCATATCGACCCATTGGCCTTCGTCTCAAATACTTTTATAGTAAGACATAAGAAATTCCATCTGTCTCTGATTAACACCAGGTGGCATTGTTGCTTAGCAAAGAGGAGATCTGGGTTGTGATTTTCTGTCTGTCTTGCCGGCACTTTCAGAGGAGAAGCTTCTACTCCATCACAAACAAAAACAGGCATAAACATTCGGCATACAGAAACCGCAGAACCATAGATATTGTGCTCTATATGAAGATAAACAGTTGAAAACTGGGTAAAAGTTATGTGGAATCAAATGTATGAGGAAGCAAATTATGTCATTTATGTCAAATATACATGTTTCAGTTCAACTTGATTTCTTCATTTATCAGGTTGATGAGTGAATCAGAACAAAAATGAAGAAGACAAATGTTCAAATACAGTTTTGGGGGGATTTATCTAAAATGAAAAATATTTGCAATTCTTCTTTTCAACACTAGGGCACTAGAGGTTAGAGGTCAAAGGACCAAACACACCATGACAAGAAGAATTGGAGAATTGGAAAATTTCTACTTTTTTCACAACTTCTAAATGCATCTACAACGATGGAATATCTACGGTATTTTCCATACTGGTAAAGCATTGTTGTGTCTAAAGTAGAGAGGAAATCATTGAGGTGATAAAATGAAAGATGCAGGAGGAGGTGGTGTCCTCTGCGTCCTGTGGAAGGAACTTTTCATTCTCTAATCTGCTTTCATGGTGATAACGGTGCGCATGTGGGCTTTTGAGGATGACTACGGGAGGAAGGCTCAGGGGGAGGAAGCAGGAGTTGGTGAGGTTTCGAAGGTGTGTGAGAACAACAGGCCGTTGGAGGCGCCCCTCCCTGACCACAGGGCCACCGAGAGACAGCTTGTGCCTGTTTTTAATACTGGTCCTGCAGAAAACCAGAGCAACGCAGCGTTCCGTTTGAAACCGGAATTCACCAGAACAAGTGTATCCTGATGTGGTGAAGAGCTAGGGTGAAGGGGTGGGGGGGAGTAGGGTGGAGAGGACACAGAGGGCGCCATGTGGCGGGCCTCCCTCCATCTCATGTCATTTCTAGATCTGCACAGGAAAGTGAAACGTTTTTTGTTTTTTTCCAGGGAGATGAAAAGACATTAAGGATGTTGTGTGTGTGTGTGTGTGTGTGTGTGTGTGTAGCACTGATTTTAATGAAAATATATTCATATAATTCACACTTGGTGCAGCATCTGGTTTCTGTTGGCTCATGTGACACTGCAGAAACAAAGCTAGATTACTTGAATGATCAGGGCTGTGATGCCTGTAAAATAATACGATTACAGCAGTGGATTATGAGTCCTCACACATGACTGTGAACAACAGCAAACCAGAAGTGGAAGTGACATAAAAGACTATTTTCCAGTGTCTTTCTCCCTCAGCTTGAGCTGTAGACGTTGACGCCTTAAGAAGCCTTATAATGTTTTCAAGGATCGAAAAAAAAATAGAAAACTAAATTTCAAACCATCGCATAAAATCTGACGTGATTAAATAAATCAATTATTTGATAGAAATGCTTCACATCAGCTGTTCGCTTTTCATAGTTGCTGGTGATGACTGTTTCCGTTATAATCCCCCAAACTGTCACTCTGACACTGAGAGGAGAAGGAGACAAGGTTGAGAACGCTGATCAAGCGAACCCTATTTCAGAAATCAAAGGTTTATCTAATCTGATAATGCAGACTGACACAAACACAGATGAAAGAAAACCACCAGGTCAGAAACGGCTCATCGTAATCCACAGATACCGGGAAAAGATTTGACAATTAATAAACCAACAAACAGGCAAAAATATGAACAGGGTGTATTTGTGTGCGCGTGTTGGTTTTCTCTCTGGCTCCAGAGAAGAAGAGAAACACAGCTGACCATTGGTCTGCTTTACCACATTCGTCACACTGTACTTCACTTCTTCACTCACACACTCACGTACACACACACACACACACACACACGCACACATTGTTTGTAACTGCCATCTCATGACTTGAACAGAGCAAGAGACAGAGAGGTACAAAGGGCAGATGAATTAGATCCTGTTTATTCGTCTATATCTGTGTGTGTGCGTGTGTGTGTGTGTGTGGGGGGGGGGGGGGGGTGCGTGTGTGTGTGTGTCAGACAGACGAAGGGTTTCCTCTGGAGAAATCACTTTAGCAAAGAGGGAAACCTGTCTTTCCAGGAGAAAAGAGGAAAGTCAGTGGGTTTAGAGGCTCTCCATCACTGGGGACCAACACAGAATGAAGAGAGAGAAGGCACACACACACACACACCTTAGGAGCTGAACATTTAGACTCTTTAGACATTAAAGCCTTTGTTGTGTTTTAACTGGCGCGGTTAAGTCAAAGTTTCCAGAGAATTGAACCTCTTGACTTAAGCGGTCACCACTTTTCATCTGACACCACCAGCAGGTCAAAGAATTTTTTCTCATCCTTGGGAAATATCT